CGATTTTAAATAAACAATCTGGAAGATCTGCTCTTCCTTTTTTATTACTTTAGGACCCTAATTTGGTAGCGTAAATGCGGCCAGATCAAATAATATATTTTTAAAGTAGCCAATTTTACCATAGTAGCTGTGGTCTAAACAAGGAGCCCACTTGCAGACAAATTGTCTTTTTATCTTTTATTAAAATAAGATAGCATTCAAACAAACATACTAAAGCATAATAACGTCATTAATTATTTCCAATACCCCAGCCTTCACCACCAGATATTTCCTCTATAAAACGAAAACAATAGACAGTCTAGCTATATCTTAAATTAACATTCTTACTCAGTCTCCAAATTAAAGTTCTGCCAAATGCATCTCTCTCCGTGTGTCGTCTCTGGCTGTCGTGCAAGCAAACTCTACCCCATCTCTCTTCTCCGTCCTCCTTTTTCTCTCTTCGCCCATCTTTCTTAAATTAAGCCGTTGTGTCCTTGTCCGTTGGAGTTTTGATAAGATAAGGGTCATCTTGTTCTTCTTGATTTTTTCTTCTGCTGGAAAAAGAACTGACCTTGTACAACTTTTTCTTCCTAATTGACACCTGGAAATCAGTCAGCTTCTAGTTGTTTCGTTGCTGTTATGAAACAAAATCCATCTCTATTCTACTTTTACAACTTTCATAATCAAATTCATGACAGAGCCAAGTTAGCTTTCATCATTAAAAGGCTAGTAATAAGTGTAGTTAAGTTTTACACAAGAACACAATGGCCAAATTCTTGTTACTTATCATAGTAAATTGCACTAGAGTAGGACCATTAAAGCAATGGAGGTTTAGTCAGTCAACTCCTCTGTAAGTTCCATTGATTCAAATGGGCCTTCTTTAACTGTGACTTACTTTAGCGTAGTAAGTGACAGTTAAAGTAGGCCCATTTGAACCATTTCATTTGAACCAAGGGAATTTAGGGAGTAGTTGACTTACTCAATCCCCATTGATTCAATGGGCTTACCCGACTACAACCTACAACATTAAGCAACAGGATTTTGGCTATTGTGTTCCTTGTATAAAAGTTAACTTTTTAACTTAAACTTAAGAAGAACTTCTTATTTAAGTCTTCTTTAAGTGGAAGACTTTAGCCTTTCCTGTCCGAAAGATTCCAAATACCCATTTGTGGCTTTGTGGAATTAAAATATTAACTTAAATTTTGCAGACACATTTTGGACCAATCCTCAGTATCGTTTAAGACTCTTGGAAGAAGATGATGATCCAGAAGATGATGAAATTATGTGTAGTTTTCTTGTTGCACTGATGCAGAAGAACAGGAGGAAAGAACGGAGGCTGGGAGCCAATCTTCTTACAATTGGTTTTGCCATCTATGAGGTACTATAGTTCACAACTGCATTATTCCATTTGAGCACCTGACTGAGTAACTGAGTACAAATTCCATTCCAATAAAATACATCTCAGCTGATGGTACCTGATAGCAGGATGCAACATTTAGTTAACATTCAGTTGGTATACAGTGGACCCTCTACTTACGGAATTAGTCCATATTGGAATGGTGGCTGCAAGTCAAAAAGTCTGTAGGTTCAATCTCCATTGACCTACAATGCATTGAAAACAGATTAATCTGTAACCGGCCGTTTTTGTTCCTTTTTGTTCGTTTTGGTTTTTTTCTGGTCTGTAGGTCGATTCTCCGGCTGCAAGTTGAACCTAAATTTTGCAGCCAGAGAAGTCTGTAACTTGAAAAGTCTGTAAGTCGAGCCGTCTACAAGTCGAGGGTTCACTGTATTTAAAAACCATTTGTAAAAGCCTGAATCACTTTAAATATTGTTCTTTTTTTTACAATGTAAATGCACTTATCTTCCCTGCAACGTTTGTAAAACACATTACATAGTACAACTGCTGCATCATTTTCATTTCATTTCATTTTTATCCCTCCTTTCCCCATAGTGGGGACCCAGAGCGTGTACAAAATGAATCCACAATTCATTAAAACATATTGATTCAAAAATATAGTATTTGCCAGTTAAATACTATATTTATATAATATATTGATGGCCTTTTTAATTCCCTGAAGACTGATTTTGACCAATAATATTGGCCATGCTGACTTACGGGTTCTGGATGTTGTAGTCCAGGATGGAAAAAAATTACTTTATTCTTAAAGCATATGGCTATGGTAGAATTTACTGAAACTCTGGTCCTATTTAATCTGAGAATACATTTGTCAAAACTGTGGACATGAACTGTGGTTAATATAAATATATAAATTAGCAATAAGCTCTTCTCTATTCATATCTTATGGCTTTCACACCTTGTTTTTCTTTCAGGTCCCAAAAGAGGTAATGCGGAATGAAAGAAGATCTGCTGATATATTTGTATAATTATTTTGATATGCAATGCCTTTTGTGCTGGTTTGTGAAGCGCTTCAGAATTTTCCAGGTTATGTTCTTTAGCACGTGGAAATGTAAACCTGAATGTGGATTTGCCTGGACGCTGTGAAAGTATATTTTTCCTGTGAGTGTTGTTCCAAAGTACACACTTGGATATACATAGCCTATGGGCAAAGAAGTAATATCCAGCAGTAAAAATGTCACTGGAAATTAGTGGCAAGAAGCACTAAAATGCTACAGTAGCATGGAAAGGGAGGTTTAATCACTCAAAACCATAAGCTGCAGGTGAGTAGGGGAGATATAGGTAACAGTATCTGTTGAAACATCACCTCCCCAGCCAAATAAATATGTCTATGTATGTAAAACATCCATAAAGGAGAACTTGAACAGAGGTATTTTGACAAATAACAGCCTCTCGATGAACTTATTAGGGTCAAACTACACAAATGCTCAGCTCACGTTTTGACCAATCAGAAAGCAAAGCAAGAAAATGTGTAAACTATGGAAGGGACACAAGGTCGTGCTAGGATAAAAAGATGTTTTTTCCCACTTAAAGGAAACCTCTAACTGCATAGCTGAATATTTTGTGTATTGACCAGATAGGCGAACAGCCTCTCGATGAACTTATTAGGGTCAAACTACACAAATGCTCAGCTCACGTTTTGACCAATCAGAAAGCAAAGCAAGAAAATGTGTAAACTATGGAAGGGACACAAGGTCGTGCTAGGATAAAAAGATGTTTTTTCCCACTTAAAGGAAACCTCTAACTGCATAGCTGAATATTTTGTGTATTGACCAGATAGGTGGGGGTACAAATAGAATGAATGAATGAATGAATGAATGAATGAATGAATGAATGAATGAATGAATGAATGAATAATTGAAACTGTTCCTCTGTCGTCCTAATTAATGAATGAATGAATGAATGAATGAATGAATGAAACTGTTCCTCTGTCGTCCTAATCAAGTAGGGCTGGATATAAATAATAGTCTCTATTATATTCCATATAATATTGGAATATATTTTAAAATTTTATTGTAACTTCATTCATTATCATGTATACTGCTTGGTGTCCAAGTTTTGGCTGCCAATTGCTTGTTTGTATTAACAGATGCAGTGAATGAATGAATGAATGAATGAAACTGTTCCTCTGTCGTCCTAATCAAGTAGGGCTGGATATAAATAATAGTCTCTATTATATTCCATATAATATTGGAATATATTTTAAAATTTTATTGTAACTTCATTCATTATCATGTATACTGCTTGGTGTCCAAGTTTTGGCTGCCAATTGCTTGTTTGTATTAACAGATGCAGGGTGACAAGAAGCATTTACAGAAGGATTTTTTCCTCTATAATGCCTCCAAAGTAAAGTGCAAGAGTTACATAAATTTGAGAGAAGTTGCTGAACGTTTCCAGTTGCCTCCCAATGAGTACGTCATCATCCCATCCACATATGAGCCTCACCAAGAGGGCGAATTTATCCTGAGGGTTTTCTCTGAAAAACGAAGCCTTTCAGAGTAAGTAGAAGAGCTGTGTTTTGGATCCCAAATTTTAAAAACAGAATTCTTTATAGCTTTTGAGTATTCAGTATATTTCACATCTATTACTATCAGCAGTTTTATAAAAATTCAGTTCTTCAAAAGACTTCTGGTTTATGAATGTGGGATATTGTGCTTCTAATTATAAACAACACTAATAATGACTCACAAGTGGGTGCAACGAAATGAGGTGCTCTTCCCCAAACTGGACAACACCACTACAAAAAAAGTTAAAATATAAACAACACTCACCATACAGATATATATACCCCGTTTCTCCCAGCAATTAAAATTCCACCAAAAACTTATGACCCCGCTAAACAACACTAATCATACATTCTAAATGGTATTTGTGACATTTATAGCCTATTCCATTGAAAAGCTGTTAAGAAGTTTGCAACCTAACCACTGACCATTGTTAAAACTATTCAGTTCAAGAAACCTTGCATTTATGAACACACGGGGGGTGCACGTGTGTGAGTGGGCAGGGGCTTCTGCGCATGCGTGAAGCGGTAGGGAATGCGCGCGCAGCTATGGCGCGCGCGCACCGGAGAGCGCGAGCGCAAGGGGCCGCCCCACCTCCCTCAGAGGCTCCGCCAGTCTGCATGACAAAAAACGTTGAGGACCACTGGTTTACAGGACACCCTCTTCTGCTCACCACCATCCACAAAGTGACACTATGCAAGGGGAAATCCCGGAAGCTGACTCCTTTTTTCATTCGTTAACCACTTCTCACCCAAACACAAAGCAATGAGCAGGGCTGTTTTTCAACAAGTGTGAATGTTAGTCTTAACTGCAGTTTAAACATTGCACCACAAGGTATTTATGTCTCTTTTTATTATCCGGCTAAACCGCAGAAGCCTGTGCTGCAAGGTCAGAAGACCAGCAGTCGTAACATCAAATCCATGCAATGGAGTGAGCTCCCATCGCTTTGTCCCAGCTCCTCGCCAACCTAGCAGTTTGAAAGCATGCAAATGCGAGTAGATAAATAGGTACCACCACGGTGGGAAAGTAAAACGGTGTTCCCTAGCCACGCTGGCCACGTAACAACGGAAACTGTCTTTGGACAAGCACCGGCTCTTTGGCTTGAAAAACGGGATGAGCACCGCCCCCTAGAGTCGGACACGACTGGACTAAAAATGTCAAGGGGAACCTTTACCTTTACCTGTCTCTCTTTAGTTGCAAACAGTTCTTTTGAACTGCTTTGGGTGCCGCAGGAATTGATAACTACAGGCCAAGCTGTTGTCTCTAGATAGTTGGCACAATCTCTGAGGCCAGTTTTATATAAGTCTCTACTTTCCGTCTTACCTTCCTCCGGTCTTAAGGTTAGAGAAATATGGCTGGGAATGAGTGGTTTGCTTTTTATAGAGTGGTGGTTTTGAGCCTCGACCTGCGTGATGGTCTTGGACTGCAGTCTGCACTCCCTAGTGGAACTTGATATGGTACATACAGAGACTTGTGATTCTCCCCAAGGACACAAACCGATGTTGCTCAAAAGCAAGCCTGACTTGTCTTTTAAAATATGTAATAATGCTGCGTTTCCTAAGCCAAGTAGAGAGAACTATGTAACAGAGAAGATTTTTCTTCTTTTTTTCTTTCTTCCTTTCTTTAAACCTTTCAATCTTGCAGGGAAGTTGAAAACAAGATCGAAGTAGGAAATATTTCTGTGAGTACCTTTTCTTTGAAGCTGATTATGTTGGGCCTCTTGATGTTTTTTTCAAGCTGTACAAAAGGGGTGTGTTTTGTCACTCTGTCTATCTCCATTACCTGTTTCCATCCTATATTACACTTGTAATGGTGCTGAAAAGCAAGCCTGACTTGTCTTTTAAAATATGTAATAATGCTGCGTTTCCTAAGCCAAGTAGAGAGAACTATGTAACAGAATATTTTTTTCTTTTTTTCTTTCTTCCTTTCTTTAAACCTTTCAATCTTGCAGGGAAGTTGAAAACAAGATCGAAGTAGGAAATATTTCTGTGAGTACCTTTTCTTTGAAGCTGATTATGTTGGGCCTCTTGATGTTTTTTTCAAGCTGTACAAAAGGGGTGTGTTTTGTCACTCTGCCTCCATTACCTGTTTCCATCATATATTACACTTGTAATGGTGCTGCTGTTTGTGTTTCAAAATGGCAAGAGGAGAAACATTCAAAATTGTCATATGTTCTCAAACACAATAATTGTTAACAGTTGCTGTAGCTCATGCTAATCAAGGACAAGGAATTCAGGGTCATGGAAAGCCCACCTTGAACCTTCTTTGTCTCTCTTTATTGTATTGGTCTTTTAATTGAAATCCATGTGTATGGTATATATTCCTGTCTGCTTGCACCTGTCAATGTGATGGCATGTGTGCCTAATGAGCCAATCTGTAAAATGTGTTATGTGGACAACATTGCCCCTTTGGCAACTACCGTTCACTGATCCATGATTTCTCGTCCACTTCTCATTCTCCCTCTAGCCAATCATCTTTGTCTCAGACAGAGCAAAGAAGAACAAGGATCAGAAAGGTGGTGAGGGCCATAACAAGGGCAAGGATAAAACATTCACAGATAAGAAAAAGGAAAGCAGTGAGGTTTCTGTATCCTTCAGCACGAGGAAAGCATGTGTGTGCTGCTCTGACTAGCATGTTGAAATCACTTAGTAGCAAGCATGCTTCTTCTGACATTTTTTTCCAGTCCAGCACCAGGACCCTCGGGGGGCTTGCACCAGTCCCTCCAAACTGATGATGGAAGAAGATAGCAATGTTGTGAGAAACACTGTAGGGTCACATCTCACTGTATCTCACTATTTTCCTATGAAGTCCTTTTTCTTCCCCCATTGCTGACTTGCTATAGAAAAGGTTAGATAAGCCATCCCCTATTGTTACCTAACAAGACTATGATCTGATAAGCTCTGTAATATTAGCATCGTTACAATTAACAATCTCCTGTTTGCCCATGGGTTGTGATAGAGAGTCAGCTTTGCATCCTTGTACCCCTCGTCTGTGGATGCTGATGCTTGCTTCTCAGCCCAGCAGACTCGAGACCAAAACAGATCCCTGACGTAGGTGGGAGCTGAATCCATATGGTGAAATGGCATTTCTCAATTTACAAAATGGAAGCACGTATTTTGCCCTTTTCTATCAGATGTTGTTTTATGATTCTCTTGAGAATTTTTAAAATTCAGAATGCTTTTATCTTACTTTTTTGGTTTATACTCTAGTGTTAAAATTAGAATTAAAATATGATTTGCAGTGGCTTATTCAAAATGCTGAACGGACCATTCCCAGTAGCTAGATCTGTATTGTAATTGCTTGGTTTATGCAACCCACACCTGCTTTTTACATAGGCTACAAGCTCTTGGCACAATTGCATGCCCAGGGTCTTTGCCATTACTGTACCTTTTCTTCTAAAAAAACCCATCTTGTTTCAAGTCATCATTTTCTATAGGCTTCTATGCTGCCTTACTACTCTGAGATTTAAAAAATAATCATGTACAAATTAATTGATGCTGAACTAGTAACTAGCTTTGCATATTTCTCCTTAATTTTTCTTAGTATAAAGAAAGAAAAACTATCTTTGATATGGCTTTGCAGCAACTGCAGTGTCATCCGTACAATATTGAAAAAGCTGTGCATGTTGACAAGTATGAATGCCTTGGACTTGGTTAAATGGAGAGTGGGATCATAGATATGCAATAAAAGTGAGAATAGAGGTGGCACAGAGCAGCTTCTTTAAGATAAGTAATATAACACACTAGAAAAATTGGCTTTCAGAATGTTCCTTGCATGGTGCTACGGATTCTGAGTTCTACTGTATGGTGTACAATGCCATACTTCAGCCAAGATTACTGTAAAAAGATAAATCTACATATCAAATACTTCTGTCATTTCTTACAAATAAGGAGATAACCACCTGGGGCTTTGTACAAGATCTAAAAGTAAGGGCAGGTAATATCTTCATTGGACCTCTAAAATATCAAGTCAAGCTTTACGTCCTGCAGAACTTAGATGCATATTAAAAAAAGAAAGTGAACAATAAAGACCAAAATATCAGGTTAAAAACAAAAGAAAAAGAAAAAACAAAGAAAACAGAAAATTTTGTAGCACCTTAAAGACTACCTGCCACAGTCCTGAAGGTGGACTTGTCCAAAAAAGCTTGTAGTAGTTAGTCATTAAATTGTCAAAAAAATTATCTTCTTTATTTCTTATTTATCCTTTGTTTTTGGCATGACCTGCAAGCACAGACTAATATGGCTACCTCTTCTAAAATAAAGTCTATACGATTGTATGAATTGAATCCTATTGGTGTTTGCTTAAGGTTAACTGACAGGGTATCAGAGCAGATCTCAGTTGTGCAGTTAAGCACCTGACCCGTCAGGTGACTGAGAGGTGCCCCGGTACCTTGTCAATTACAAATTACACAAACCTTATGTGAACACGAATTAGAAACTACATAGCTACTAAGACAAAACTATGATAAATATGTATTTTAGCATGCCTGTATTTCAAAGACCTGACCCAGTAGTAAACATCTTTGTTTACATGTACAAAGAGTGTGAGAATTTTCAAAGTTGGTTTCAAAATGGAGATTGGAGTATAAGAGGCACAATTTCAGAGTTCAACTCTGAGGTAGATTAGAACGTGTCTCCAAGACCTACAGTACCAGACAAAAAGCTGAACCTGCACCTCCGACTTTCATCTGCAGTACCTTTTTTTAAACTTAAAAGAAGAATCTGGCCATGTTGTTTGGCTTTTCCCCCTGCAGTAACCACAACATTGTGATACCTAGCATAATCAAGACTGGTGTGGTTTGAAAGCTAATGTTTGAGATTTTTAGTAGTCTACTAAAAGTGTCATTTACCCTTGCCTTGGATTGTGTACAATGACCATGTGGATTTTCTTTACTTGTTTATTCCTCTTTTGTTAGAAGCCCCTAAATGAGACTCATTTCAATCATTTTTTTTATTTGCAGCCTGCAGAAAAAGATTCTGATAAGGAGAGTGAAGAAGACAAACAGTTCAGAAATATTTTTCACCAGCTTGCTGGAGATGTGAGTGCAAAACTGCTTCCTTCTTGTGTCAAATTGATGTTGGTAATATTTAAATTAATAGCGTCTTCAATGCCTAAGCCAAATAAAGCCATAATAAGAGAATATTTGAAAGGCAATTTTGAAGGCAGTTTGCAAGCTTTGCTTTCATTTTTACTCTTCCCTCCCTTAGAACAGAATTTTATCAGAGATGGATTTTAAAAAGACTTAGATTTTCTCATGCTCAGTCGTATTATATGACTTTGTCCTAGGAACAACATTTTCCACTGTGCTAGAAATTTGCATTAAAACACCTACAGTAGTACCTCGGTTTACAAACCGAAATCCATAGAAATTAATGCCCCAGTTTACGTTCTTTTACTCCCCCACCCACTATACAAAGGGGTTTCCGCAGGATGCATTGCACCTGGAGGTTTCTAGCACCACCCCCATTCGTAGAGCAATCCGTGTTCGGTTTACAAAATTTCCGCATTACGTAACATCCTGGATGGCGCATTAGTTTTGTAAACCACGGTACGCCTGTACATTTAATTTCTTTGTCAGTGTCTACATCACTGCTTTGAAAAGACACTAAACGCGTCTGGAGGAGAAATGTAAGAGCCCAGTTCCATTATTTTTTAAAAAAATCTATTTATATTAGGTTTAGCATGTTTTAACTTAATTTAAATTTAGGTGAATACATTATACATTTGCAAGCATAGATTAATATGACTGGGAAACCATTTTTCTGTGCGGCAACAAGTTTTTTTAGTCCTCCACCAGAGGTCCATTTATTTTACCTCAGATTTGGAATCGATTCATTGAAAACGATTCCAGATATGTGAACGCCTCTGTCCACACAATTTTTTTTGAATTCCACTATCTGATACAGTGCTATATCAGATAGCAGGAATTAAAAAACAACATTGCCGTCTGCTTGCCAAGGCTGACAACACAGCTTCTCACACCAAACCATGCCTGCCTGCCTGCCTGCTTACACACCGGCCTAGCCCTTCTTCCAGTTCCTGCTCCAGGCGGATCGTGTTAAGTCAGAACTCTGCACAGTGACCTGTCCATTTTGGGTGTCCCTGCATGGCATAGCCCATAGCTTCTCTGAATTACTCAAGCCCCTTCGCCATGACAAGGCAGCAATCCGTGAAGGGGTGAGAATGCAAACAGTTATAATTTTAATGTACAACACTGCATATTGTGTGGTAAATGTTAAGTGTAACCAAGCTCTAAGCACTGCAACTTGTCATCCCCTGAGTGACTTAATCATATGCATGCCAATTCTTCACAGGACATGGAACTCAGTGCTGATGAACTCAGGAATGTCCTCAACAATGTTCTGAAAAAACGTAAGTGTGCCTTTGCTGTTTCGTACACCCTCTGAACAATAACATAAGAATAAAAAAGCAGAAGAGGCTGGGATTTTGCATAAACTATGACATCATAAATCTTTATGAAGATTTATTTGAAAGAGATCACAGGTGGCAAACAGTTTATGTGCATCAAATGCCTCCACCATCCTCACGAATTCAATCTGTGTATTTCACGGTGAAGCATTTGTTCAGAATATCAGGCACATAAGTAGCACATGTCGTTGGGAGCTGCCTGGGAGAAAGGTGGCCTACAAATGAGACAAATAATACTAATACCACTGCTGAGTTAATTAGCTATTTGCACAATCATTGCATGTCTCCATGTACAAGTTAAGATTTCAGACAAGTATATCCTGCTACAGAATCAGGTCTGACATACCCAGAGATGAGCATTTATTAACATATATCAGATCTAATTTTTCATTTGTTACCAGAATTAACTACCTCACATGAGACACTGAGCTTGTGCTAACGCACATCACTGTCATTCATCCCGCATGTAGAAACACACACACCCCTTTATGGTACAATTTTTTAAACAAAGCACATATGCCTGATTTAACACCATTAATAATAGAGATCAGTATTAGTAAGTGCTGCTCGGCTAAAAGGCCATGCCATTAACACTCTTATTTCCCAATTGATTTGAAAATGGTGGTGAAAAGGTGTTTAGTAGCAAGGTTAAGCAATTTTTATTGGGCAGCCTAGTAAGCTGGTAAGTTTATAATGCCATCCTGGGCTCTTTGCGAGTAACGTAAGGTAAAGATCCAGATCAAAATCTTACTGGCAGTTTACACCTGTGTAAGGAAAATTGCTGCTAATTAACTAGGTGTTATTTACATTCCCTAAGTTGTGCATGCACTGAGGATTACTATCAGCACCTGGTTGACAGGCAGCTGTTTGCCACCACAACCTGGTCAATTTCCCTTACAGAAGAATAAATCAGCCACAGAATTCCAGCCAGAGTTTCAGAATTTAGAGACATGTTTTCAAGTTTCAGTAAACAATGTAACATTTTAAAAATTAAAGATTAACACGTTATCGAATCAAATTAATTTTGTTTTAGATAAGGAACTGAAGACAGAAGGTTTTGCCCTGGAGTCCTGTCGCAGCATGATTGCCCTAATGGACGTATCCTTTTCAAATCACATACAGTCACTTTACATCACAACAGCATTTCTTGGCTGTATTAAGAGCCATCTCAAAGGGAATTTCCTTCTAATATCATAAATATTTACATGTTTAAAATGCACACTGTCCACAGAATCGCTGTACTAGTCCTGAAATAACACCATGACTTGTGAGATACGGCGTTACATACACCCCCTCCCCATCTTATTTGCTGGTGCTGCAACTCAGTTTCTGCACAAATGGTTAAAGTGTGTCCTAGCTTCACTTTAATGTCTCTATCATACATTTGTAAATTCTTTTTTTTACTACATTACTACAACATTCCACATAAACACATATATTGAAAGCCCTGTTGTGGGGCTTCAGCCATGTTGCTCACCCTTTCATTGTTTGTTGAAATGTACGGTTAAGTAAAAATCAGATGTTTGGTTTCTGGATGAAAAAAAGTGCAGTCTTTTCAGTTGGGCATCCCTAAAATGATTTCTGGCTTCACTCTTCACATTCCAAAAATTTTTTGAACTGAACACCAACGTCACAGACAGATGGTTCAGGGAAAATAAACCTCGATGAGTTTCGACACCTTTGGAATAAAATGAAAAGCTGGCAGGTATTCCTGAAGTTTCTTACATATGCTCTGTTACTTTTGGCTGATGAATGTCACAACAATCTGCATGTAGGATTATGAGAAACTAAGATACAACAAAAGATTAAATTTAGTCACTAAGGAGAAGGCTATTGCATCCAACAGGACAATCTGCATGTAGGATTATGAGAAACTAAGATACAAAAAAAAAAAGATTAAATTTAGTCACTGAGGAGAAGGCTATTGCATCCAACAATGTTTTTAATATACTTTTCTGCAACAAAAAAATAATGGCAGAAAACAAAATAATGTGATTTCTCTACCCGAAGCTCAAGGTGAATGTGCGAGGAGGACTGCTGGTCCAAATTACACAGATTCTGTGGAAATGTTTCCACAAACATAATGGAGGCTAACAAAGGAGGCAAAGCTAGAAGTTTCCTTTGTGATCTATCAATTTCCATGTGTAAGGAAGTTTTGGTAAGGCGTTGCTTCCAGATAAATGAAACCTACCTTGTACAGAATAGTCATGTGAAGAATTATAGCATTTCCCACCATGGATATCTGAATTCATTCTAAAAGCTTATATGGATTTCTCAGCAGGCATCACCACTTGCCCAGAACCTGATTACAATTACTTAGTGGTGGCAGTGGTGGTTTTTATTACTTTTAAAAAAACAACAACCATATATTAAGAATTTCTGTACAGTTTACCATGCAAAGTATCTGGATACATACATCTGCACTCTGGCATGTTTACAACTATTCTGTGGTTGATGCTGTCCTACCAATGAGCAAATATTAGAATAATGTGAGGAGATCTGATAACATATGAAGTGATAAAGTAAGAAAACATAACTGCTAAGGACAGTATTAAAGCTCTACTAAAACAAATGTTCCTCACCCACTCTAAAAGCATGTATAAGCTAAAGGACAGCTCCTAAAATAGTCCAGGTTTCCTTGACTTCTGCTTGGTTTGGAGGCAAAACTTGTAACATATTGATTGGTTCGATGTTTTGCTGCCAATGGAAGTGCAATTCAATGGCATGTGCTATGAGCTATTAGACTAAAAAAATATTTCTTATTACCCAATGCATGGCCTGTAAACAATAGTTCTTGTTAAATATGTCCTGAATAATACCAACTGCTTTAGGAAATATTTCTCCAATAGTTTATTTCCTTTTCTGCTGGTAGGGTTCCTACTATTCTCAAACCCACATCATTTTTTTTCTCTTCCAGAAAATTTTCAAATATTATGACACTGATAACTCAGGAACTATTAAGAGCTATGAGATGCGTAATGCAGTTAAAGATGCAGGTATTGTATTCTGCTACAATGTTATTGTCCTGTCTTGCATTTGATAAATTTTCTGTGAAAAGCACATTACCTCACAAACATAAGCTAAATTTGAGAGAGAGACTGGAAAACAAATCTGCATCATCCAAGATGTTCCATTCTGTTCTTCTTCTCAGGGTTTCAGCTGAATAACCAGTTGTACGACATCATAATAATGCGGTATGCTGACAGAAATATGAACATTGAGTTTGACAGCTTTATCTGTTGCTTTGTGAGGCTTGAGGGAATGTTCCGTAAGTACAATTATTTAAAATTTTTACATCTTCCAATCCACTCAAGTGTTTGCAGAATATAAGACTATTATATTAGTCTTATATTCATAAAACTTTTGCTGGACTCTGATGCATGAGGGCAATATTGAAATTCAGGAAACAAACTCTGTTCACCATTATTATTGCTACATGGTAGGGCTTAATGTAGCTGTAACTTACATTAAGGCTTACATCACAAACATTAAGTTTGTGATGGAAGCAAAATCATAACTTACATTAAGTCAAATCACAATTGGAAGTTGCTGAGATCAGTTTTTGAGCCATTTTCTTTTCTGGTCCAAATCTACCAGGCTGCAGCATTCTTCATATTTTCATACTATTTGAAATCAAGCTAACTTGAGTCTTCCACAACTGGTTTTGTATTATATCAAAAACTGATGATAATTTCACCCATCATAAAAAAAATAAAATAACAATTAAATTGTCCTACAATTTCTATGATGTCAGTTCCAAACCAGAACAATTCACAGAACCTCCAGCTACGTTGTTGTTGTTTGTTTAGTCGTGTCTGACTCTTCGTGACCCCATGGACCAGAGCACACCAGGCCCTCCTGTCTTCCACTGCCTCCCGGAGCTGGGCCAAATTCATGTTGGTCGCTTCGATGACACTGTTCAACCATCACATCCTCTGTCGTCCCCTTCTCCTCTTGCCCTCACACTTTCCTAACATCAGGGCCTTTTCCAGGGAGTCCTCTCTTCTCATGAGATGGCCGAAGTATTTATTTATTTTATTTATTTATTTATTGGACTTATATACCGCCCCATAGCGCTACAAGCACTCTCCAGGCGGTTTACAATTTTTAATTATACAGGCTACACATTGCCCCCCCCCCCAGCAAGCTGGGTACTCATTTTACCGACCTCGGAAGGATGGAAGGCTGAGTCAGCCTTGAGCCGGCTACCTGGGATTTGAACCCCAGGTCGTGAGCACAGTTTTAGCTGCAGTACAGCGTTTTAACCACTGCGCCACGAGGCTCTTATTGGAGCCTCAGCAGGTGTGACACCTTCAATGCCTGGACACCAGAATGCCTTGGACAAACTTCTGGCATCCACAGAAGTTTCATATGGACTACAACTCACATCTGATACACCCATTGACCATGCTGGCTGGTGATGACGGTATCTAATATACAACCAGAGGTTGATGGGTTGGGAAAACCACTGTTGTAACAGTCATATAATAATCTTTTTTTTTTTCCAAAACAATGTATTAGCTGGCTGGGTGACTCAGTGGTTTAGCTATCTGGCTGCACAGCAGAGGTTGAGATTTTGATTCTCCATTGTGCCTCCTGGGAGAAGAGCCAGCCTGTGTGGCCTTGGGCAAGCTGCACAGATCCAGGGCATTCCCTGGAAGAAAGGAACAGAAAACTACTTCTGAGTATTCACTAGTTGGAAAACTCTGAAAAGGGTCACTATATGTCAGAATTTACTTGATGATCTCTCTTACTCTAGGTTTTTGAAATCTCTGAACAAGACCTTCAAAGGTAAAGGACATCTCTCTGGAAAGATGGATACAATCCCAGTCATACCTCTAACACTGATAACCTTTATTCAATTTTGAGACTTTATGTTGGAAACAGAATATTTCCTGCATTTTCCCCCGGCCATGGAAGCTGAAGGAAGCTTGAACAAGGGCATCAAGAAATAATTTAGCACAATACAAGCCATCTGTACACTTTAGGGACGGGAATGAGCTGCAGTGATCTAGCCTATAAACTCTAGTGGGAGGAGGAGCATTAAAAAATAAACATTAAATGGAGCAAAGAGTGCCACAGCTGAACAATTTTCCAGTTAACTCAGCAAGAGAATAGCACATATAATGATACACACTTGCTAGTGTGTGAAATGAGTGCAATTGTACGGTAGTTGGAGCATTCTTTGGCACTACCCTTCTTTGGGATTGGTATGTAGACTGATCTTTTCCAGTCCTCTGGCCACTGTTGGGTTTTCCAAACTTGCTGGCATATTGAATGTAGCTCTTATAGTACCCAGTATTATATCATCTGCTTATGTTTGCAGGAACAGCATCTGCTATTAACTAGCCATTGCCTGCTATTAAAACTGCCAGAATAAGAAATTATTTATTTATTCAATTTGTGTCCTGTTCCCATTGGTGTCACAGCACTACTCTGGGTAGGTTACAACTCATAAAATAGAAAACAGAAATGAAAATAGAAATATTAAAACTGATAACAATAACCCTTAAAAAAAAAGAAAGAAAAAAGAAGACCAGACGGCACCAACTAATTTCAGAGCGGAGGGGAGAGAGGGGGGGAAGAAGGTGGTCAGCTGGGGTCGGTGTGGAAAACCTCCCTGAAAAGCAATGTCTTTAATTGCGTCTTAAAAGTCCACAGGGAGGGGGGCTAGGCAGAGCTCCTCTGGTAGCTGGTTCCATAAAGTTTATAGCCACTGCAAAGATATATAAGATAGACTTTGTGCAGTTTGTGAATTGTCACACTCACCTAACATACTGAATGCATCAGAGAGAGAGAGAGAGAGAGAGAATTTTCCAGTGAAATCCCACTGCACATATGATTCCTTCCGTTTAGCCTTGATAATTTTCTAGGTACTTGTAGCAAAACAGAGGGTTCAAAAGGTTTGTTCACACAGTACGTTAAATGCCTGTTCATCTACACCACTAGTGACTTGTATGAACCATGATCTCCAACAGCTTTCAAACATGGCCAGCGTCAGGATTTCCCTAGCATTCTCAGTGGAGGTTACCCTGGCTGATATTCATAAGCTTCTAGCTTCCCAGTGTCCTTCAACATGGGGTCTTTCCAGTGTGTTGGTTAGTGGCGCAGGCGAGGGATGATAACTGTGGCTTTCTTTCTAGCTAGCACAATGGTTACAATGGCTAGCAATCATGCGGGTTGTAGAATCCAAAGCACCTGAAGAGTTCCAGGTTGAAGAGGTTTGCGATACGGAGACTGAAATCCTGTTTGTGATGTAAGCCAAATCATAACTTTCAGTTATGGCGCTCTTTGCCAAACAAAGCATTCTGACCGTGGTTCTTGGGGCTCATGCCCGCACACCAAGCTGGCATGTACATGAAACTCTTAAAATTGCATCAGGGACACACTGTTTTCTAAGGAGGAATGGACAAAAAGTTAAAAATTTGGCTTATGGTATGAACAAGATTTCAGTAAAAGTTGAGATAGAAACATGCATGTGAATGGGATTTGTTGCCAGCATTCGAATGACAAGTAGGGAGTACTGTATTGAAGTCATTGATGTTTCATAATACTCATGTCTGTTGCTTGGCTTGCTGTTCAGTATGTTCAGTATATTTCGTACTGGGACTTGTTTTATATATACAGTATATCCTTTATTTTCCCTTAGGTGCATTCCATGCCTTTGATAAAGATGGAGATGGTATTATTAAACTTAATGTCTTAGAGGTAATAATTGTTTTGTGTGTTGTTCAGCATACAGTTGTACCACTCAATTGTTTCCCTTCGAAAGTAGGGGACAGAAAAATAACAGCAAGTTCTCAAACTAACTGGGTTTGGGCAGCATTTGTTCCTGAAAGCAAATAAATAAACAAGGACAACTGTATTCAAGAAAGGTCATGGAGGTGCTGGCTTTTCTCAGAACCTGAAATGTAAAGTTACCAATGTGGAAATGGAGTAATATACAGATATTGTATATTGTCTTGCATAAGGGGAATTGTTGGATTCTGCCTAGTATCTTCATCTGACTAGTGCTTTCTTCCCCGTCCCAACATTTGAGCTACAGTAGGATAGACATATATACAGTATGTGATTCATTAACTGCATGGCATGGATAATGGCATAACAAAACACAGAAGTTAAATCAGTTGTGTACTTTTCTGCAGATTTGTAACAAGGACGTTTAATGCTGCATACCTATACTGTACATAACTACATGGGAAGAGGAGTCATTGAACTCAATGGGACTTAATTACTGAGCAAAATCTATAGGATTGTATTGTAAATATGTGTCCAGGGTTATATACAAAAATGCATTTTGCTTACGCTCTCTTAATCCAGATGAGCCATCTTATAACAACCTGCTCTACTGTGGATATATTGGTTTTCAGGATTTAATGGATTTCCCATTCTTTTGATGTATCCTTATCAATGAATGGAGGCTGTAACTGGCTTGTGTTCATGGCTACAGGGCTGGAGAGGGAGGGTTCTGATTTAGTTAATGCAAGGCCATGTCATGTTGCAAATATGATTCCATTTTATAGCCTTGATGGTCCTTTTTTAAATATTGGCTTCTCCAAATATTGGAATGAAACTGAAGATAGTTAACAAATGAATCCCACTATGTTTAGAGAATTGGTTCCAGTAAAAACAGATGTAAATATACACTTAAGAAATTTGTACTGAGAACCATGTTTGTTCTGCACCTTACAGAAAGGAACTTGGGCCATTTTAATTCTTCTTTCCTCTCTTTCAGTGGCTGCAGCTCACCATGTATGCCTGAAGGCAGGGATTCCTGTTTTCCTCTCAAAATAATACTCTGATTTTTGATACAAAGAAGCGGCCAACATTTACTATGAGAACAGGAGCCTCTCTTTTCCCTTTGACAGGAAACAAGCAACACCCATTTCTCTTTACCAGATAAACCACTCATTCAAGATCATTTACTGATAACTGACATCAGCAATACAGCATGTTCCCCATGCCAGATTGTCGAGTCTAGCATTGCACCAGCACTGTCTGTTAGTTCTACAGGATGTTTCCCCCATCTCCCATGAAGTGTTCCATACTGCCCTAAAGGTTTTGGAGATGTATGGCATGGATACTAGAGAGTAGAGTGTTTCAATCAGGAGAAAGCCTCCACTCAACCATCATCATCATCAAGTGCCATTAAGCCAATTCTGATTTCTGACAACTCTTTTCAGGGTTTTGCAGGTAGAGAATACTCAGACGTGGTTTACCATTTCCTTCTTCCAGGGGCGTAATAGAACTGTGCAGTTTGCCAAAGGCCACAAAGGCTGGCTCTGCCAGAAGGAAGCATAATGGGGAATTGAACTCCCAGCCTCTGGCTCCACAGCCAGATACCCTAAACCACTGAGCTGTCCAGCATGCTCCACTGAATCCTGGCCAATGGCAGTTCTTTATACCATTTGTGCAAACAATGCCTGTTGCTCTTTGTTTCCAAGTAGTTCATTTGCATTGTCAGATCCTCAGGATACAGGAATATTGAGCAAGTTATGACTAATAAAAATATCTTCAGGTTACCCCAAAATGGATGTATTTAAGTGAATTCAATGTACATTCCTGAGCCACATTGATATTTGAAGATAAGATTTTCTTTAAAATCTGCAGCCATATTTATGCTGCAAGCTAGAACTATGAATCACTCATACTCAGTCTCTTGCTCTCAGAAAGAAGCCGAGGAAGAAAAGTTAGTCTTTTCTCCTAACATCAGGTTTTCTCTGGGGGATATGTCCCACCATCTCATGAAAACACAACGATTTTGTGGCCATTTTTTTTTCTGGAATAAATGACAAGCTGCTCAGGATTGCTGCAGTTCTTATGCAAAACGGCATCTTTGCTGGGCAGGATTAACCTGGAAAAGGCAGAAGAAATACCAAAGTACACAAGGCTGTTATAATTCCTATCCAGAATCACACTTTTCCTGCACAGGAATCATCTGGATAAGATAGAAGAAACATGAAGCTGCACATGATTGTTACCATTCTTGCAAAGTGGCACCTTTCCCACATAGGAATCACTGCAAAGGGCATTAAGCTGCACAGAATTTGGCAGGACCCTGCTTAGAACAGGGCACAAAATACCTTCAAAAATTGGGTTTATGACTCAGAAGGAAAAGCCCCTAGTTACTTCGTTTGTTTGCAACGTTTCTACCCTGCCTTTCTTCTTAAGAAGAACTCAAGGCAGCTTAAAACATTTCAAAGACAATACTTAAAGCTAAAAGCAGTAAGTACACCAGTACTAGAAAGGATCAAATACCAGAGTAAAAGGTGGTAAAGAGAAGCAACACCAACACACATTCAAAGCAGTAAGGCACAAGAATCTATTTAAGAGCCCCACTCAGGCAGCCAGTCACTGAGGGAAAGCTTACCTGCTTGCAGAAGGACAATGAAGTTGGGGCAACCCTGGCCTCCTGTGGAAAGGAGTTCCAAAGTCTGGGAGCAGCAACAGAGAAGGCCATCTCCTGTCCACTCACCAAACACACCTGTGAAGGTGGAGGGACTGAGAGAATAGCCTCTCCTGCTGATTTTAACGCCCAGGCAGGTTCATAATAACAGTGTCATCGAAGCGACCGACTTTGACCCAGAGCACGCCACCATAGTCTTTCGAGACTGAAGGATGCCTAACTTGCCGTGCTCTGGTCCATGGGGTCGGGCACGACTAAACAAGTCCTTTAGATAGCTTGGCATTTTGGCATTTTTGTGTCTAAAGAAAACTAACTTTGGGGTCTTGGTTCCCTTACAAGTAAAACTTTTCAAAGAAATCTGCATCTCCAAAATAAGCACATAAGTGTTGCTTTTTATAGGACCTTTTCATATGAAGGAAGACTAATGTACATGAGGGAGAAATTGTAAAAGGCTGTAATGCAGCAACGACATGTGATTTTTAGGTGTATTGTTTCTAGGTTAGAAAAAGAAAATATGTGCGGTGGTTTCAGTGTCATGTGGCCAAATGCCTTTTTCAGGAAAAAATATGTATTTTCTGCATCCGTTTCTAGGTTAGAAAAAGAAAATATGTGCAGTGGTTTCAGTGTCATGTGGCCAAAATGCCTTCATACACAGACAGAAACTTCTTTTACTAGACTTGCAGAATTTAATTAACATTAAATGATCAAACATTAAATGACCCAATTATTATTAACATTAATGATCAAATGCTTCTGACAGAAATACTGTTCAGTTTCCCTGTTAACATGGACATTTTCCAGGCATGTAATTACTTTGGTCAGAGACCCACAATTAGGGGCAATGCAACTGAAAATATGCTCCTGTTTATGTCTGCTGTTAACTGTGATCTTCGGAATCCGGTGGAGCAGTGAGGCTGGAGTGATAAGGGACATGTAGTAAAAATGCTGAGAAACTTAATAGTGAGAAAACAACATTTTCTGTTTGTGTCTCAACATTCAATAAGCTGGAGAGTCCCCCTCTGCCGATTGCTTGTCCTGGGCTAGGAGGGAGTGGAAATGTACTCCATGCCCCCTGAAAGATTTCATCTGCCATTGTTGAGTTCCAGTGGGAGTCAGGAATCACTTTGCCCTTGTTCAACCCCTACTGCGGAAGACAGATGTACTTGATTTGGAACAAGGATGGGCATGTGATTCTATTGCATTATGGCCTTCTGATGGGAAAGCAACAACCACTCAAGAAATCTGGAGTGAAACCACCCCAGAGTACACAGTCTATTGTGGAATGATAACATTGAAGGTAGGACTTTGTGATACTTTTAGAATAGTGGATTGCATCTTTTCCATCCTGTAACCAGGGAAGAAACCTTTGCCTTGGCCAACGTCTATAAGCACATCCAGGTGTTTTATGATATCAGACGGGAATATGTGGCTCTTTCCAAGACTGACTAGAAAATCATGATCTGCACTATTGCAAGTTGGCCTGCCCATCTTTCTGGCACTGAGTTTCTAAATGCAACTCAATGAGAACACCAATCACAAAGGAAAAAATATGTATTTTTTGCATCTTCAAGTGTACCACTAAAGCTGCTATAAGCTTCATGAATACCTATGGAGAAGAGGTAAGGTGAAATAATAGGGCATTGTACTGATAATGATTTAGGTAAACAGTTATGTGCAGGTATGCTTCCATGATGCCCATGGAATCTAGGAAACTGCCCTGCTGAAGAGCTTCCAGAGTGAAGAATCTCCACCCTGAATGTTTCCTGACATTTCTCTACCTTTTTTCAAGTCCTAAATTGCCTGGAGACCCTGTTGTCTTTGCCACCATGAAAAATATGGAGTAACAGCTTAAGAATTTTTAAACAGATGACACTAATTCTATGAACCCCTATAGCTAGCAGCTGGGAAACAGTCAAGAGAATTTTGTGGTTTTTCCATATTCCTTGGTCTCAAAGATTGATTGTTCAAAATATTTTGAGGGGAAGGTTGGCAAATTCTATCTTGTAACACCCAGACTGTATGCAGCACCAAATTGAACTGTGCAACAGGTATCCCGTGTACCTATATGTGCTGTAGTCTCCCCCCATCCTGCCCCTGACACCCCCTGAGGCAAGTCTGCATCACGAGGGGAAGCTGGGTTTTTTTTGTGTGTTTTGGCTTTGGTTAAGTAAATTTTGGTTTCATTTTGGTTAATTAAGCTCAAGTATTTTATGGGTTTTGTGGGGTTTTTTGTTTGTTTTTTGTTTTCTTTTGCACACAGGCCCAGGTCCTCTGTGTCGAAGGCAGGAGGGGGACAATAAACGTCTTCCTCCTTCTTCACCTCAGAATGTATGGGAGAAGCAGAGACAGCCTGCTCTCAGTCCCTCCCCTCATCCAACCCATGCTGGTCTTGGAGACTGTAGGACCTAGAAGGCACCGGGGGGGGGGGGCTCAGATGGTTGTCCTGCAGGGGAAAGGGATGTATTATTAAGAGCAATTTCCTTGCCCTCTCTCACTGAAAAGGTTTCCCCAGGTTCCATGGTTGTCCTGCAGGGGAAAGGGGTGTATTATTAAGAGCAATTTCTCTGCCCTCTCTCACTGAAAAGGTTTCTCCTGGTTACAAGAAGGGTCTAGAGGAGGGAATTCAGAAGGTACAGCTCATGGCTGAGAAATATAGTAAAAAGAGTAGGAATCATTGAAAAAAGATGAGGCGAGCTGAAGACAAGGTTGAAGTAAACCTATGTGAAGCAGAGGCAGAAACTGAAACTTAAAGATATCCTCATCTGCTACAGGAAAATAATTCCTTTTTAAAGGGCATGATCCAAACCAAACTTGGGAGCAGTTTAAAGAACTGTGAAGAAGATGCCTGAACACTTATTTAAGGAAATATCCTTGATACCTAAAATTTGCCATGCTTGTACCACATGATGGCTAGAAATATCTGGGAACAGAACATCCCTCAAAACAAATTGAAGTTTCATACATGAAATATTCCCTAACTGATTAACTATATTATGGCACTGGATCTAGCTAAACATTTTTTTAAATTGATTAATCACGCGCTGCAGCTTTAATTAACACACCCTTTAGTTCAGAGGTCTCCAACCCCCGGTCTGCAGCCAAGTGCCTGTCTGTGGCCTGAGCCAGACCGGGCCGCAGAGACAGACCTCTCCCACCCCACCCCCGCACACTCTTCCCCCCTGCACAGCTTGTTTGTGCCTGCACCCACGTGAGCACTATCCCACCCCTTCACACGTGCAAAAGTGCCCTCTGAGCCCCATGCCACCCTTTGCGCATGCGCACAAGCGTGCACGCTCGCACAAGCACAGGGAGGTGCCCTACATTCCCCAGCTGGTCTGCGGGGCTAAAAGGTTGGGGACCACTGCTTTAGTTCACAAGGCAGTTCCATGGTTTGCTTTGTTATGTATTCTTTGGTTCACATAGCAATGCATACTATTTACAAATCTAAGAATTTGAAATTTCCTACATACAACTGGAGAAAAATCATACTAAATCAACTGTCAGATAACTACTTCACTGCACCTTCTGCCAAGGTCAAATCAATAAATGAATTGGTAAACCTTTAAAAATACAAGGAGAGCAGAAGAATTAAAGCCACACCAGACTTCTCTTGGTATAAAGTAAATTTATTTTCTTTATTTTCTTTTTGTTTATTTAGTTCACAGCTTTGTAGTAAAAAGGAAAGACCAAGTCATTCGGTGCCTTTGGGTCACACATCTTTATGAGAAAAAGCCATACACGTCACCCACATAAACAATGTAGGTTTAGGGGAAGCTGCCAGTAAAGCTTACTGTCTATGCATTTTATCTCAACCAGTATTTTTAGTCACATAAATCAGCTCTTGCCTGAAAGTGTACACAACCTGAGCCTTTCTTGTTACATCTACTAGCAGTAGTGTAATAGAGAAAAATGGAAAATTCATAGTTTTGTCTGCTGGTATGCCTTGAGGAAAGTAATCCTACCTGGAGGACCAGAAAAATCTAGGAAAGTCATCATTTAGGTCAAGCTAGCTCTTGGCTGGCCACTGTCTTCACATTTTTTTAAACTACATGCCACTGAATTTGTGAGTTCTCTCACACAACAAACTTGAATTATTATTTTTTTGAAATAACCATAAAGCCAGAACAAATTTCACATTCTCATTCACTATTAAAATTCAATCCAGCACCCTTAAGATAGAGGTCTTGCCATCAATATCTACTGGAACTGTGGCTTTGATGTCTTGATCCTTCAAGCCTAAGTACGGTATTTGTCTCAAAGGACAAAGAAAAGCTGGAGTTGTCACTGATACTCAGTCACCTTTAATGGCAAAAGAAGATGCAAACAGATGAACAACAGCAAAACTCCCTGAATTTTGATACACAAACCGTTCCCCCACTGCACATCTCTTAGCACACACCAAACACTTACATTCACAAAATAAAAGAAATGGTATCAAATAAATGCCAATTGTGATGGAGAAGTATGTGCACTTCATAAACAGTCCATGAAAGCTTACTCATACATTAGCCAACATATAAAACTTAACACACTTCCCACAGAATTAAAGAACACACTCCACAAATCCTTCTAGCCACCTTATTTCTATCTCCTACTTTCAAGACAAAGCTTTCTCAAGACGACTTCAGCTTATTTGTGAAAAGATGCCAGAAACATTTGGAACCTTTATGAGCATGACAGAATGATGCTAACTTTTCACAAACCAGCAATCAAAAAGCATGTCCTTTGTGGCACCAAGGTTTCTGGCAGAGTCCAGAGAAACATGCTCACATCCTCTCCAAAAGAGGCAGAAGAACAGAAAGCAGAACCTCATACCAAAGAATTATTTAAAAAAAAAATCCCTGAAATATCTAAATAAAGGAATTATGCAGCTTGAGTAGAAGTTGCATTACTGCATACTGAAATAGCCCCCGCCCCCAAAACCTTGAGACCTATCTCTTATTTCCAGTCCAAACATTTGTAGACTTATTGAATCAAATGCTGAATGGTGAGTCAACGCTTATGTAAATCCTACTTATTTAAGGACTTTACTATACTTTGGACTAACAACTAGATTCAGGAGTATATGAGAAAATAGGTATTTCTGAATATGTGACATGGCTTACAACAATTTTCTTCAAAGTCTCCAGTAAATGGAAACCTAATTGAACCAACCCTTGGAGGGATATGATCACAAATTATTGGTGAATCACTCTGAAGACAAATTATCTATGGCATCCCAAAATGGATCAAAGAAAAAAAAACACATTTTCACAACCATCTTAAACAAATGCACACACATTTACACCTATTACAACAGCTAAGAACACAAGTAGGTAGTATGTCACATATCCTACTAGTGCTGTGAAAAAAAATACTAATACATTCCTGCAAAGGAAGTCACAACCCTCTTCCACTGAAGCCTTAAAATAAGAACTTCGAGAGGATGCAGAATTTAAATCCAATCACTCATTAATCCTCAAGACTAATAAATCCTCAAGACTAATACGAACACTGCACTCCACGTATTTTTCTTACAACCACTCTGGCTTGGCACGTTTGTTTCAACTAAGGATGTTTTAAAAATAATTCCGTTTTTGTAAACACATCCACACACACTCACACACCCATTGCATGCTTAATTTTTTTTCTATGGACTGAACGCTCTACAACTTCTTGATAAAGTACTGAGATGCCTCTTGAGGTGCTCACTTGGCAGTTTCTTTCAGCTTGTCTCACTCTGGAAAAAATTGCCAAAGCATTGGTAAAACAAAACAAAATCCAGGTGCAGTTTAAATCCAGGTGCTACTCTCTAGATGTGCCCCCTCTTGGAGTAAAAGAATATTACCGATTAACTGTAAAATTCTTCACACCACAGAAGGAAAGAGTAAAAGAAGGACATAGTATCTAAAGAGTTAATATGTATTTTTCCCCAATTTTTCTGCCACCAAAATAATGGCTACACAGACCCAGATTTTTAGTCACAGCCAAAAAAAGGGGACAATCTTTCCCAAATAATTTTTTTCAAATAAGCCCAAGATGCAGTCAAATGGGCAAGCATTCACAACGTTTACAAGTTCTTCAAGATAAGCAATAGCTTCCACCTTGCACCTAGCTGCTTCAAAACATATCTATAGGTGAACATTGCCTCCTGTTTGATTAAAACACCCTGGGCTCATTTAATACTTCCACTTCCTCAAAAATAACTTTATAGACATAGATATGTTGCAAGGTTCTCAGTTTTCTTCATGAATAAGGCAGAAAAAGGCTGATGCAAGTAACAACAAGAACACCGGCTGAGATCTAAAACCACTGCGTGAACCGACTGGTGCACAGTGCTGCATCCAAACCTCTGAAACAGTGATGGACATGTGTACACTATTTTCTTTTCCACACAAAATATTTCAGTTCTTTGTCCTATAGCTATTGTCTCAAAATTATATTTCTCAGGATGCTGTATCGATGGCCTTGTAGGCCCCTTCCAACTCTGTAATTCTGCATGTCATTCTAAATGGTGGTACAACACCGACAAATGGTCCTCTCAGCTTCTGTTTGGGCTCTTTGGATGTTAGAAGTGCATGTTTTCCATCCAGCAAGCAGCATTTTCTTTTGCTGAGCAACGCTCAACAGAAGGTGATGGTATCTCAGAGACTGATGGCCACCAATAAGCTGGTTGAAAAGCACAGGGTTACAATGTGTCAGTTATGCAGAAGTGAGCATGCTCAATAACAGTAAAGGACTCCAAAGCTCTGCAATTTAAAATGTCACAATAGCTTGAATCTAGTACACAATTCCTCTGTAAGTTCCACTGATTCAATGGGCTTACTCTAGTTGTGACTTACTACATGATTTTAGCCAATGGGTCATAAACTCTCAGAATTATTGTTGCAATCCCCTTACTATGGCTAGACAGTGCTGGATATAAAGGTACCGAAACATATGCTTAAAAGCTGAAATTGTTATCCTCACAAGTCTGCAACAAGGTGCCTGATAATTAAAAACTATTTTAAAAGTAACAGTAAATCTGTTTTAAGAAACAGACGCTAGGTTGTTGGTTAGGTGAGGCAGTATTTTAGTGATTATCACCAGATTCTTGGAGAGCTAAAATGCATAAAAAGTCAAGTATTAAGAGTGACTTACTGTGCCGATGTAACAATAGAACTGGAGATAACTCACAGCACAAATGGAAGAACCAAACAAGACACAATCTGTTTACTCTAGTACTCCCCATTAAAATCTCGCATGACCAGAGAGATGATACAAATACGTAATGAAAGGAAATGCAAAGTTCAATGCTTAGGTGGTATTTGCTACTGGAAGTTCTTTTTTTTTATTGTTGGAATTGTCTAAATCCCAAACTGTAAATTACCTGGGACATTCTGAATACAGCATCAAAATAGATGGACAAACAGAACAGTGTATATAGGCACGAGTGTGAGTACTAAATATTCCTCTGAGTAACTAATTTTAGACATGCACAATGTCTGTTTTTAACATGGAAAATAAAACAAAGCATTATTGGTTTTTTTCTTCTAACAAATTAAAACAATGTTTTGTTTGGTCTCAGTCTGTCCATCATTCCCTTTTCTACAGAGCTGCAACTAAGATGCTGTCTCTGTAGTAAAAAAAAAAGCCACATCCTTTTTTTCACTCCATATATGAATATAGGAGGAGGGAAAAGGAGAAGACAAGAGGTTGACAAGGCATGGAAAAGTTCCAGTATATAAAAAAAGTACTTCCCAATATGGGAGGCAAAAAAATCTTCAGGAGTCAATCTTGCTATCATCCTCAGCATGTTTTTCAATATGTCCCACAGCATCCTAAACAGAGAAAGAAAAGAAAGCTTGTTTATTGGCTGAAATCTTATGGTGCAGATATACAAATGGTGTAACATTAGAAGTGAATTGCTTTAAGACATCTTCGTAGGTTAGGCATTATCTGTTGTATGCTGAGTTGTGTGACTCAGTATGCAAATGATGTCTACATAGATTTTTTAACTTATGGCAATTTGTGTCTAAATGTTACGCCATTTATGTAACTGTGCAATAGAATTTCAGTCATTGTTTTTTATGTCCTCATCAAAGATTAAAACACATCTGTGGATAATATTCCATAACAGTATTTAATGTGTTTCTGGTTGTTCTGTGTTTGCAACGAACAGTGTTTGCGACGAACAGATAGGTGGGGTATAAATGAAATAAATAAATAAATTAGGGCAACACTGTACAGATTACAAATAAATTGCAGGAATGGGGGACTTCTGGAGGTGAATAAAGACTCCTTTCTTTCCATCTAATATAGATTAATAAATGTTATGCATTTGAAAGCAGCCTACATTTACATGTCAGCCCAAACTCATCAGTGGCTGAAAGACTGAGCTCTATGCCTGTTATCACTAAGTACCTCATTGTAGTCTGAAACTGGTGATGACAGAAGGCCAAAGAATATGTGTTCTGCATATATGGAGGTTTCTATTACTGGATGTGATCCATGGATCTGCTTCCTATTGTTAGTCCCAACTGGAACAGACACCCAAAACCCATGGACTTTCTTTTGATCAACTGAACAAATGTAGTCTTACTTTTGAGCAACTGCTTCAATGGGTTTACTCTAGTTGGAACTGGCAATTAGCTTTAAGCTGCAATAACTGTGCAACTGGGCCCTAATTGAAAGAATTGTTCACTCTTACCGATGGCTTTCCATCCTTTATCCTACTGGATGAAACAGAGAAGAAGACAGTTTTGCCAGTTCCTTCTCCCCACTTCTCATGTTCTCTTAAAATTCTCTGTATAAAATATTTTGCAAGAATCTGCAGCAAGAAGGATGCTACCTCCCTTTTCTTTCAATAGCAGGAACAAAATCTGGACCAAAAACACTACTAAGGCCTCTTTCAGGATCATCCACACCAGATAAACCATGTGAATTTGTTGGCACCAACTCAAAGAATTCAGCATACCAGGAAGACTAAAAACGTATGGGCTTGTAATTAGATCATGTGTACATTTTGACAATCCTTATGAATTATATTCTAGCAATTCTCTATACTTTTCTAAACAATGAGATTATTGGAAAGTCTGACAAACATTGCAACAGAATACTCAGAAGGCTTAAAACTTCAAACATTAAACCGTAATGAACTATTTTTTTGTTCTCATGACTGACTGGATTTTGTTTATATCCAATGTTCTTTGTGAAAAGTTTTAAAGCTATCCTTTTATCGCTCCATGTCATATTTTAAAACACGCCAGCCTCCAACGGTTGCACCGACCCATCTCTGTACATTGGAAAGCTATATTGTACACCCCTTCATCTATAAACATTCTTAATTATATCTGAAAAATCCCCCTTGCATCTTCTAATACTTCCTCCAATTAAACAATATCTAAACACATGGGGGCTTAGGCTCCCACCCCCGGACTCTGAACATGGCAAGATTGCTCCATGCTCCCTGGAGGGCGTAAGGGAAATGTTTTGGCCAGTTTTCCTCCTTATGGATAGAATGTGTTGCATCCTGCGGCCCACAAGAAACCTACCCAGAGGCCACAGAATTACATTGTTACATTATGCACTGGTGCTTTTAACATATTTGATTGTCTAATTCCCCTTCACAGTCAGTAAGATTGTTACTTTCTAGTTACATTTTTTTTACTTGCCTGCTTGGAACTTTTTCGGGAGGTGAAGAAAGCATCACAGTTCTTCCAGCGACACTTCAAAGTCTGAAAATTTGGGTTTGTGTGATCATTTAACAAATGCTGTTTCAGGTGGTCCATGACTCCAAATATCAGAGAGCATCCATGCCACTGTTAAGAAACATTTAAGAAAGACAGGTGGAACGACAACAACAGAAAAGCTATAGTAAGATATGCACTTCTCTGCCAAATGTTTCCAAGTTATCCTATTATCTTCCCATTTAACATTTCACTCCACCATGTAAAAGCAGCAAAAGGAAATCACAGTGAGCCCAATCTGATTTCCAAGCTACACAGCTTGGCTCCAGGATAGCTGAAGGATTGTATCACCCCACATGATTTTTAAGATCTTCCATAGAAGCCATTCTTTCAGTTCCATACCAATATATTTATAACTAAGAGGCATAGGTCACACATAGACACTAAACATGCTCACAAGCAAACAACATTTTGACTTATAATTTAGTATGCTTGTACTGGGGAGGGATGCTTAAAAAGAAGAGCATTCTAGACCTATACATGTATATTGCTAAATGAAAGTAGACACATATATATCATTAAACAAGGCATGGGAAAACCAGGTAGGATGAGTGGACAGTTCTTCGGGAGAGATATGGACGGTATTTTAATATGCTTCTATTTGATTTTGGGGTGGTTTTCTATGGTTTGTTATTCCTTAATCATGATTTTACTGTTAATACCCTTGTGTTTATCAATGAAAAGACAAAGTATAAATGTAACAGATTAGAAAACCAAAGAAACAAGACTTAATTGTGAGTAGTAAAAATGCTTTGTTTTTTTTACCCAGCAACGATAATTCTGCATCAAGTTCAGCCGTACAGCTTGAATACTTCCATCATAGCAACCAGTGTAGATCTGGGGAAAAAGTGGGGGAGAGAAATGGATGAAAAAAAATAATAATAGAAAAGGCTTCAAGCCACATCCCTGCATCATCTGTCACTCCCCTATACCATCTGTTTACAACGGTAAGGTAAGAGAAACAGAAGGTGAACACTAAACTAGGGAAAAACCTTTGCAGTTTCAATAATCTATGAATGTAAGTGTTTTAATAGTTCTTTTAAAAATCTTTCTAACTACAGTATAACAATCAGCCTGTTATTATCACTCTCAATTCCTGAACTTGTAAATGTTAAATGTGAGCTCAAAAACAAAATATTTTACTGTGGTGGTGGAAGGGAAAATGTAGGTATCACAAATTTATGCAATTCCTACAATGCACTTGCTGAAAAAAAATTCAGTTGCAACTAAACTAACTGAAGCACAACTCAAACGTCTATAAGTGCACAGATGACATTAGACCAAAATCTGTAAGTCAGATCCTAGTGCATTCCAAGTTTAACGCTGAAAATGAGGAAAGGGTATGTGTTTATAAAGAAAATGAACCACATCCTGTTTCCATGCCTGTGGTCTTCCATCTTTCCATGTTGAACATGGATGTATTGGGGGGGGGGGCTTCTACTGCACTTACTTTTCTCTATGTGAGAAAACCAAGAGAAACCAAGATTCCCTACTATAGAAAGACTTTTGCCTGGATCCCACTTAAATCAGAGCAAAGGGCTCCTTCAGACCTTTCTCCCCAACATGGGGAGATAGGGTACTCTCTATGTCTCCCAAATAAGCAGGCTAAATACCTGCATGGGGGTCACAGACACACTGCACATAATGTGCTTCTGTGTTTGCACCAGGACAGTCGAGGCGTTCCAAGGGTATTTCTCATCCTTCTGCAAGACTCCCACAGAAAGGGGGAAACTCAGACTTTTTTCCTCTCAGTCCCCACTCTCTCTTGTTTAAAGGGTAGTGTGAGAAGCATTAGGAGAGATGCTGCCAGCACAGAGTACCAGGCTCATACTCTGACTTGGTAGCTTGCTTTATCCCCCAAACACAGCTAATGGTGCACCCCTATGTCCTTCTGGTGCCAGCCCCAACCGATGTGCCACCCATCTGAGAAACTTTTGATCTTTGGGTCTGGTTTTTTTTTTGGGGGGGTGTGGCAATTAGAGAAGCAGGAAGGCCTTGACATTTCACAGTCAACAGTACCAATCCAGTGAAAGATGGTGTGTTCTTCCCACCAGAAGGAACCAAGCATGTAGTGATCTGCACAGCTCCACAAAGCAAAATGTAGGTGTTATCTTCTACAGGGTATCCACAACCACTGAAGAAGCACCCCTAGGTTGATGAAAAATGGTCTCTTACCATGCTCTTATGAATAGTCATGCACATAATCATATCCGTATGTCCTCCATAGACTTGCAGACGATCATGGGACTTGCAGCGGATAGGGGGAACAAAGGGGAAAGGTCAGTCATTTTGTAAATTGAGAATCCTGCATGTAATTAAACATCTGCCCACACAACTAAGACGCATGGTCATTAATAATAAACCTCCCCTTCCAAGGAAGAGCCATGCTGCCTAATTCTGATTCAGCTTTTAAAATCTCATCCGCTTCCTGCCACACAAGCTTGAACTACAGTAGACTCCCTCTGGAAAAGGAGTTGAATAATAAAAGACATTTAAGTATCTGGATCAGGGGTTCCCAACTTCTTGCCTTTCAGATCTTTTAAACCTCAGTTTGTAGAAGCCCAGCAGTCAAAGATCCAGGAAGTTGAAGCCCAAAGTACTTGAAGGGCTAAAGCTTGAGAACCTCTGAGCTAGATGACCTCACAAGCCTCACATAACCCAAACCAAAGAATAAATATACATCTGCCACAGAACAATAGTATAACTTCACTATAGCCTTAGCCAGCAGACAGAAACAGGTTATCTAACAGCTATTCCATGAAGACCATTAGTCATTGAAGTCTGTGAAACTCCCGCAAGGCTTCTTACTTCTTTTAACCCAATGTGGAATGAGAAGGATTCTACCTTCAACATTTGAACACACAAACATCCCTTGGATTCATGCATAAAAGCTCAAATTCCATGCCATACAAAAGGAAAGATGCTGCTGTTTTTACAACAGTTACGAGGTGTCACTGAAAGTGAACAAAGTTTGAATAAGGGATTATTTATTTTACCTGCAGCTCATAAACACGGACACATTTGTCCAAGCAAGCTGTTACCATCACTTTTCCTAGAATGTTCACAACTGTTACGGCATGGTTGTGCCCTTTGTAAATGCGCACCAGCTCACCAGTCTGCAACAAATAAGCATAGATTAGTTGTTCCTGCACTTCTAAGGTCTCCCTAAAACGTTTTATGAAAATTCAGTGAAAACTGGAAATTCCCCCTTAAAACAAACAGGGAAAGCTTATTTTAAAGGGTCTTCGTGGTGTACTACCAACATTTGATGGAAAAGTGCAAATATCTCTTTGAAACAAGCATTTCCTGCCTGTTTTGGCTCGGCATTTCTGGTTTGCTGATGAATTTGGGTAACCTGCTGGGGAGCAGACCAGTGGTAGATTTGAGGGGGGGGGGAGACAGAGACACCTTACCACCTCTGGCACAAATATATAAGCACATTTTTTTAAAAAAATTAAAGATTCTTTACAAGCAGATTGAATTTAAAGTAGATATACAAACATATCTTTCTTCCACCCTGTTTCCCCAAAAAGAAGACCTCACCTGAAAATAATCCCTAGCAGGATTTTTCAGGATGCTTGAAATATAAGCCCTACTCCAAAAATAAGCCCCAATTAAGTGAAACCCTGGCCTCCACCATTGTGCAGCAACCAGAAGATGACATGGCTTTAAAATAAAACATCCTCCTCAAATAAGTCCTAATACATTTTTGGAGCAAAAATTAATATAAAACCCTGTCTTATTTTCCGGGAAACACAGTATTAAAACAGGGTTTTCAAGGTATGTGTGATGCACAAAGAGTGGTTTATGAATTCTAATATTCGATCAGTTTCCATGGTTGAGCAGAGATTTGAAATCAGGGTTCTTGAATCTTAGTCTGACATACTTGTCCACTGCACCACACTGGCTCAGCATCAATCTAGCATTAACTTAGCAGAGGAGAAAATACAATGCTTGTAGACTCTATGGTTGCAGATATCTTATAATATCCTATCTGGAGGAACTGTAGCAATCTGCACATCCTTTCCTAATGGATCAGCTTTATGTGTATTTACTGATCAGGAATCTGTCTAAAACATCAAATCTAGCACAAGAGGCTGCCCTGATAGCTCAACTTAGTACTAATTTAGAATATCTTCAGAAGTGCTTAAAGTACTGGATTTATCACAACTTTAATTCTATTTTAAAGTAATGCTTTCATTGGAAGTAGGAAAGTCTTAAGCATCTCCTATTTTACTGTACCAAATGCAATGGTATCTTCTCAATTTCAAACTTGTCAGCAACTTACATGTATGTTGTGGGCATGGACAGACTGGTCACTGGAACCACTGAACACCAAGTCATTCACAACCTTGGAAAAGACAATCAAACATCCAGGTTATCCTCCACATTTCAACAGGAAATGCTGCCTTCCTTCCACCCATTCCTTCCATCTTTCACATTTAAGGGCTCCTGTGACAATCCAACCTAATACATTCTGGGCTGCACATGCACAAAGCCCTAGCAAGGCAGCTTGAACACTATTTGGGAGAAAACAATTAAGTTCTACTTCCAAACGTTTGTCCCTACTGAACAGGGTTGAGGATGATGCTGACAATGGACACAGAGATCCTACAAGGTGAAGGAGGCTTGGGAGGCAAGGTGAGGCGAGATGTCAGGAAAACAACCAAGCTGAAATTTGAGGCAGAATTAAGTACATGGAAATAATGGAGCAGGTAGCTAGAGTTGGGTGTTGTCCACATGCAAACAGTACTGAAAGTCACGGGAGCTAAGGAGCAAATCCAGAGACAATGCACAGAGAGAGAAGAGCCTAACAGAGAGAAAAGAGAGAGTGAAAGCAGAGAAAATCCCACATCTAACTCCTGATGTCCAGACAAGATTGGGCCAGATTCCTGCTGTAAACCTTGAAGAAAGCTATTGCCATCCAATGCAGATACAGTTAGATGAACCAACATGATAAAGCATTTTATGTGCTTAAACCCAAACAAGACCACATGCAAGGGAAGGTTTTTTTTGTTTTGTTTACACAGTTTAAACAGTACTAAGAGGTGGGGAGAAAAACACAAAGAGGATGTATGTCCATCAGAAGTCATTCATTTCAAGTGACTCACCTTCATACAGAGTACAGTTTTGCTGTGACCCTCCAAGGTTCGAAGTAAGAGTCCATTTCGGGAATCTCGCACGCTGATCGTACAATCATAGGATCCCACAATCAGCAACCTCCGTGCCCCTTCCCGGGCTGTGGCAAGACAGCTGATTGCCCGAGGAGTGTGGCACTCAAAGGTGTCTAGTTGCTTGCAATTCTTGGGAGAGGGTCGGGGAGACACAAGAAGCCATTTTTAACTATCAACATGATTTTTCTAATTCCAACTTCATGTCAAAAAAGCATTATCCACACTGTTTTTGTTATTCTTGTTATTCAAGCAAATATGGTTCAAGCTACTTATATGCCAGTCCAGTTCTGACAAATTTCAAATATCAACTTAAGAAAACACGTTTTTGAAAAAGGACATCAATTTTGTTTTGAATATTTCCATCCAAGGTGCTATTATGAGTTATTTAGCATAGCTCATACTCTGGTTTCTCTTCAGATCGTAAAAATCTTTCGCATAGCTCTTCCCACACTTCAAGAGCTATCAATGGTAAATACAGAGTATTTAAACAGTTTACACTTAAGAAAAAGGTGAACCTTCAAGAAACTGGCTTTCCTTAAATAGGCAACTGGCTCATTCCACAGATTATATTCTTAGCAACAGCTTGCGATAATGCATGTTTGTGCCGGAAAGTACCTGCCTGGTGACAAGAAGCATTTCCAAGAGTTTGGAAAAGTTACTTCACCTGGTGAAATTCTGGGAGTTAATATGTCAAAAAATAACTTTTCCAAGCTCTGGTTCTTTCCTTGGTCTGTGAAGCCACAAAATCTGGAGGAAAAAGTTCAGATTAAACACTCTATTCACCCTTTCAGATTCACTTCCAAGCAGGTAGCTATCTTCTGAGAATTAGCCAGCTGTACAACCCCTGTGCCGGCTCTACACATCTTGAATACTGACCTTCATGCTGAATGTGACAACATTGCCATTAGCAAGTCCCGCAAAAAGAATCTTCCATCTACTGTGCAGGCAGAGCACACGGTCATCCAATTTAAATTGATCCACAAGTTCCCTAGTCTGTTAAAAGGAAAACAATAGTTAATAATCAAATTTTGGTCAGTGAGGATGGAAAAAAAAGTGACAGCTAGCTTTGTTTATAAATTCAATAAACTGTGCAAGGCTCTTGCAGGCTGGGAAAGGTAGACTATTATAACGCATGCCTACAGGCTCTCCCTGACCATTGGAGAATAGTAAAAGAATCAAATACAGTGGTGCCCCACATGATGACGATAATCCGTCCCATTGAAATCACTGTTTAGTGAAATCGTCGTCATGCAAAATCCGTTTCCCCACTGGAATGCATTGAAACCCGTTTAATGCGTTCCAATGGAGCCTCGTGGCGCAGTGGTTAAACCGCTGTACTGCAGCTAAAAAACTGTGCTCACGACCTGGGGTTCAAATCCCAGGTAGCCGGCTCAAGGTTGACTCAGCCTTCTATCCAGCTCGCTGGGGGGGTAATGTGTAGCCTGCATAATTACATTGTAAACTGCCCAGAGAGTGCTTGAAGTGATATGGGGCGGTATATAAGCAGCACGCTTTGCTTTTGCTTTTTTTGCAATGGGGAAAATATCTCGTTGTCCACCGAAAATCGCCCATAGGGAAGCCATTTTGCGAGTGCTGATCAGCTGTAAAAATGGCTGTCCTGCGAAGCATGGGTCCGGAAAACACAGGGCAGCCATTTTGCGAAGCCGACAATCAGCTGTAGAAATCGTCATCTTGCAAACAAACGGTTCGCGAAGCACGGAATTGTCGTTAAGTGAAAATCGCCCACTGGAATGACTGTTTTGCGAATCTCTATAGCGATCGCAAAGTCATCGTTATGCGGATTTGTCGTTTAGCGGGGGTCGTCTTGCGAGGTACCACTGTACCTCATTCTAAACCGGAATTTTCTATTTTTTAAAAACATTTGGAAGTTTTTTTAGACTATCACATCTAATTCATTAGAGCATATACTTTTCAAAGCCACAATGACATTGTTCAATGTTTTAAAACCCATGTGTAGTCCACAAGATAACTTGCTCCCTCCACTATTACTTTCCTTGCACGAAATTGGCCTTTGAAGAGGAAGTTGTGCTGTGTCCATGGAGGCTTTACAAATAAGACAGGACACAGGGGAAAAACAATAGGTTATGGCCTCCATCTAGAGTTTCCATGGACATGGGAGCCTCTCCTCTTCAGGCTGTGACATTTACATGAGAAAACAATGGCAGAATAGGGTGGGGCAGCCCACTCTTTTTGTCTGGAATATATACACTTAAAAAAAAAATTCGATTGGGTAAGGAAAAATTATAGGGAAGGGGATTTGGAACAGGGTACTGGGGTAAATATAAAATTTACAGAATGGGATAGAGAACAATAAGTATCATTATTACTTTTGCCGACATGTTTTTTTACTAAGCTTACTTCATAGGTTATGGCCTCCATCTAGAGTTTCCATGGACATGGGAGCCTCTCCTCTTCAGGCTGTGACATTTACATGAGAAAACAATGGCAGAATAGGGTGGGGCAGCCCACTCTTTTTGTCTGGAATATATACACTTTTTTAAAAAAACATTCGATTGGGAAAGGAAAAATTATAGGGAAAGGGGTTTGGAACAGGGTACTGGGGTAAATATAAAATTACAGAATGTGATAGAGAACAACATATATGTGTATTATCATTACCTTTGTGGTTATGTTTTCTTACTTAGGTTAGTTCACACTTACCTTGCCATTTTTTCTAAGCCTTTAAACTCTACAATTATATCTTATATCTTCTTTCTTATAATTTTAACCCATTCATTTTCTCATCTCTCATCCAATTATAGAAAGGTTCCCACTTTTTCCTAGCCTCAACAATTGGAGATGGTTGGACAGTGTCACCGAAGTGACTAGCATGAATTTGACCCAACTCCGGGAGGCAGTGGAAGACAGGAGGGTCTGGCGTGCCCTGTTCCATGGGGGTCACGAAGAGTCAGACACGATTTAATGACTAAACAAACAAACAACAAAGAGCTACAGTACAACAATAGAAACAGCAACAACACGAACGAGTAAAATATTCAATTGTAACATTTGCCCTTTATTTTCAAATCATTTCTCTTTGCCTTGAAGTGTTCCTCCATGTTTAATTCCAATTCCTTTTCTAATTATGACCAACATGGAATTTGTTTGTTTGTCTGTTTTGCAACACCTGCATGTGAGGGTCAACATTTTCACAGGACTGTCCAGCAAAACTCCACTCCCACCAACCTTCAGAACATGGCCAAAGAGCCCAAAAAACCCACAACAACCATCAGATCCCAGCCGTGAAAGCCTTCGAGAATACATTTTTATATTAACTCCTGGATTGTTGGAGTCTCCTCTTTTTTTCCAGTATTTGGCATATAAAATTCTTGCTGCTGTTGTTACATGTATGATCAAATATCTTTTTTCTTTTTCTATCAAATCTGGTATTATATTCAACAAAAACAGTTCAGGTTCTTATAAATTTATAGAGGATAACATTTTTGTAAAAACTCATGGACTAGTTTCCAAAAGCTCTTGGCTTCCCTACAAGTCCACCACATATGATAAAAACTACCTTCTTTTACTTTACAATTCCAACATTTGTTAGAAGTACTTTGATATATTTTCAATCATTTTTCAGGTGTTAGAATATATACACTTTTTCAACACCTGAAAAGGGCTGATGTTTCCTTGGCTTCTGTAGAGAAACCAGCCAATTGAATGCCATTCACAGTACTGCTACTTTAAATAGCAATAGTAAACTAGAGGGAATGTTCTTTAAAAATCATGCCCTTTGGTCTAAGTTTTGAGAAGGCCTTTATACACCATAGCAAAACACTATCTTAAAAGTAGCATTATGTTCCTGAAGGGCCAATTTTTTTATTCTGCCAATCTGTCTCAGTGCTACAGCTTCCAATGACAGGATGAAAATTAAAGATGCAACTCATTTTTAATTTATTTGTAATATTAACTGTTCCTGCAAAATAGAAAAAACAGCTAAACTAGAAGTGGGAATATTATTTTCTTTAAGAACATGCACATGCTCAAACAGGTTTTGACACTGCATCTATAATTACCTTGATGTTATAACAATTTATAGTGTGGTCACTGGAGCCCGAATAGAGTACTGCATTCTTCCCTGATATCTGAGTCACCAGGAGGCAGTTCACCTTTGAGGTGTGCCCTTCAAAGATGCCGACACACTTCCTGTTCTGTGAGAGGCAGAATGAAGCATTATCAGAGTTATTTGCTCATATGAAGTCAGATCACAACCTGAGACACATCCAAGCACTGTAGCCCTCTCACCTGAAATCACCTGCTTCCTGCTTGTGTGGATTTAGGGTAACCAAGATAGAGCCCCTCATAACTGTCTGCACAAACTACACTTCTGAGATGTTTTCCCTGTCTGCATCCTTAAAAATGCAAGCTTTTGGAACATGTAGATACTGTTACATAAACCCTTGCCTTTCCAAAGTTGGAGTACAAGGCATGCTCACTAGGCTGCCCTTTATTCTCACATATAATAAAGACACACATTACTGTTCCAGTCACTAGGAATCTGTAATGGTCCAGATGTTGTGGGACTGCAAGTCACGTGAGCCTCAGTCAACATGGTGAATGGTTTAAAATGATAGGAATTGACATCTCATATCATCTGAGGAACCAAAGTTCTGTTGTTAGCTTTAACCTACTTAGTGGCAACATCATAACTGTCCTCTGAGAAAGAATGTTCTTATAGTATTGAAACTGAAAAAAAATTCCACTGTTACATTACTCCTGCTGTATGCATTAGATGGACTGCAGCGGAGAGGGCTTAATCCATTCCTTTCATGTACAATGAAAGGAAGTGATTTGGGCAACTCTGATGCCCAAATCAATACTTGTGGTGGGCTGGGGAAGAGTCCCATCTGGGTATTACAGCTGGAAACAAAGTAAGTGGGCCTTTCTTACTAAACTTTGAAGTCTAACACTCTAGACTGTAACTCTGAAGGCAAGGACTTTTACGCTACATATCTTACAAAGTTTTCTGGGAACGTATTTTTTTTAAATAAGCACATTTGTATCAGAGTTAGGAACAAGCAACTTCTTCGCACCAATTTCTCTTAAGATAGAACTAACATGTTCTCCATGCTTCTGGCTAGAAAGTCATACTGCCCACCGAACCACATTCACCGTTTTGTCCTCTGTCCTATGAAAGAAGCTAGGCAGTGTTCTTCATGTGCCATTGAATATTGTGCAAAACTTCTAATCATTCAATAGTAAAACACAATTTTAACTCAGAACGTGTCCTAAATTTGAGCAAAGCCTGAATTCCAATTCCAATAATCCTTTAGTGTAGTTCTGATGTGTCCTGAAGATTCTGACAGGTTTCACTTCTACTCCGGTCTAGTTATATTTATCTGCCTTACACCAGAGTAATATCTCAGTGGTTTTAGTAGCTGCAACTTTATGTTGGAACATGGGCTTCAAAATTTAACACGGACTCTCCACAAATCTACTTACCACTAAGTTATATGCACGGATAGTTTTGTCTGCTGAGCACGTGTACAATAAGTTGCCAAAAATCTGAATGGCATTCACTGAGGCCGAATGTCCTTCAAAGACCCCTTCACTAGGTTCCTCATCTTCACCTGGCTCAGAAGAGACTTCTGTGAAACACAATCACCACAGCCTGTGTTTAACTAAACATCCTGTTTGCAATCTCATAAGAAATTAAAGCAAGCCAACATATCCAGGCCAAACTTCCAGGTGTGGGCTAATGCAAGTTCTTCTTGCTGTACTAAAGAACAAAAGTGTAATGGTTGTCAACCCTTGACTGAAGAAATAAGGAACTGCTCTCCTTTCACTGGCTCTCCTTTCACTGGCAGCCTCAAACCTCACAATTTCAGCTGATGGCCATATTTTCTCTCTTTTTTAGGTAAATTGATATCAGCATTTTAATCAACAGATTTCCAAGTGTTTGAATTTTAGTTGTATTTTTTAAAAAAACAATGGTTTAAATTCTATTTCAATATCTGTAATTTTATTATGTTTTGTGTTGTTTTTTAAAGTGTATTACAAGCTATCTTCTGTCCTAGATCTGAGAGAAAAAACTGTTTATGACTAAAATAAATGAACAATATAAAACAAGAAATAAATTGACATTCTGGGTAGAAAAATGTCACAATATTAAATGAACTAGGAGGAATACTTTTTTGATTTATCAGCACATTAGGAATGCATTATGAATCCTTTATCAAGTAGTTACAAAAGAAAGTCATGTGGTCCTTGCACAATACAAATGCAAGAGCGGGCAATACCTTTATTAGATCGCTAAAAAATCAAAATGGTTTGTGAACTTTCATGAATCAAGTCCACTTCCTCAGGCCATGCACTAACATCTAGTGTAAAAATTATAAATGACAGTCCCAAAAATGCATGGCAGATAGTCATACCAGACCTTTTTCTTACAGGTGAGTTAGAAAAAATGCAGGGTTAGCTGGAAATGTGGGTTTCAAACTACACCCTAGGTAGCTGCTGGCTGGATATCAAACACATCCCAACTCCTCAAACAAAAATTCACCACATAAAATGCATGCACTCCCAAAGATGTTTTTTAAAAAAAACAAACTTGTGAGCTCTTCTTTGGCCAGAGAACAGGGAACACAAAAACCTGGAGTTCTGCATCAGTTAACATTTAGTATACCTACTAGGCAGAGCCAATTACAGCCAAATTAATATTATCACCTAGGAATTGGAAATAGGTGTTTCCTCAGTTTGCAATCCTGCTTGGCTGAAATGAAAAGTCCATGTTGCATGGGCCTCTCATTTACAAATTTTCCATAAGGAAGTGGGCTTTGACCCACAAAATCTTGCTGATCATTTGATTTTTGTGGTGATCCTGGATTTGTATTATATGAGGTAGAGATAGTTCCACTGCCCTACCTGAAGAGGCAAAGTAGAACCCTCTTGATACTCCCCACTGTTCCATTAGCAGCATTAAATAAACATAGCATCATCCTTCTACCCATTGTCAGATGAACTAGATCAGAAGTGGGAATCAGAGGCCCCTGAATAGTGGAGACTCCTCCATGTGCCACAAGGAAAAGCAAGAAGCAAATGGGGGAATTCCCTTTTATTTTCAAACACTGTTCACAGACAGTACAGGATTCTTCACAGCCCTCAACTAGATGGCTTTACCGCTAGATCTCGATAGAACCGTTGAAACACATCTGTTTACCAGTTGGTTTTAAATGGCCAAATCTACTGGGTTAAAATGGCTTGGTTATGGTATTTTAATGCATGCATCTGGCAGTCAGACTCTTCAGATGTCTGAAGAACATAACTAGGAAACAAAGAAGATACTATGCTGTGATGAAATCCTATTTAAGTTGGTGTAGTATAAAAGTTCAGGGACGTGGTGGCGCTGCGGGCTAAACCACAGAAGCCTATGCTACAGGGTCAGAAGACCAAGCAGTCATAAGATCGAATCCACGCAACGGAGTGAGCACCCATCGCTTATCCCAGCTCCCGCCAACCTAGCGGTTCGAAAGCATGCAAATGCAAGTAGATAAATAGGGACCACCTTGGTGGGAAGGTAACAGCTTTCTGTGTCTAAGTCGCACTGGCCATGTGACCACGGAAGATTGTCTTCGGACAAACGCTGGCACTATGGCTTGGAAACGGGGATGAGCACCGCCCCCTAGAGTCGAACACGACTGGACAAAAATTGTCAAGGGGAACCTTTACCTTTACCACCGTTTAGTATAAAAGTTCATCTGTGGAATTGTGCTGAGACAGAGCTTTACAGTCAATTGTCTAGTTCATATCATGGTTATGTAACTGACTGTGCAAGTCATGACTGTGTGAGTCATATTGTGGCTGGACGATTCATATCAGAACTGCTGTGTGACATGCTTGTGGAAATATTTTGTGAATGTAATGTCTATCCTACCATGATTTCCTCTACCACTTCTACTGCTTCATGCTGCACAAGCATAGCTATGCAACAGCATTTCATCCAATTACTCTAAAGAATTAGTTTTTTCTATCTCTCCCAATGACTTCACATTTGTTTATTCAAACAAAAACAAAACACATAAGGATATACCTGATGAGTTTTTTGATCCTCTTAGTGATGATATCGATGTCTGAGTCTCAGCAACACTACAAAAGAAAGTAAATGCCATTACTATTGGAAAAACTTTTAATTAATACCTACAGAGATGTAATTCTGAGATACTTTAATGAACACCTTCTGGGAAAATTGTTTCTATTGAAAAGGAGATCTGATTCCAAGACCACAGAAGTGCTTTACCATTAGCAACTGCAAATTAAAGGTTTCATTCTACATAAATTATCTGCTGAATGTGTTACAGTACAGAAGATCTCAACATTATTGCAAGCTGAATCTGTGCCTCATTAACAATGAGGCAAAAGACTAACTATAACGTCAAAAGAAGTTTACAAAATCCAGCATCTAGAAAAATTTCCAAAATGTTCAAAAGGATAGCCATGTTAGTTAGATTGTTTAAAAAGACACTTTAAAATCCCACAAGGCTAATGGATACACAACAGTATATCAACATGGTTTTCCAGCTCACCTTCTAGCTATCCCATCCCTATAGTTTGTTCCAATCTCACTAGTAGAGCTGACTTCATCATAGCCAGACCGAGACGCCTCTTTTAAAAGCTGCTCTGAGGTGTTCAGGGCATCCCGCTTAGAAGGGCTGTCTGGCTTCTCATCCCCTGACTCTGAGGAGGTGATAGCCACCACTTCAAGAGGAGACCTGGGGACTTCCACAAATTCCAAAGATGTGTCACTTTCATTCTCGTCTTTCTTCTGTTTTCCTTCCTGGGCAGCATCCTCTTGCTTCAGAGGAGTGGATGTAGTCACTTTTTCCCCTTTGGGCACCTTGATCGTCTTGACTTTCCTGAAAGGTTTTGAGTCACTGACATCCTGCTCTGTATCACTGTTCTCAGGTAACTGAGCTGCCGCTCGTAGTGCTTTCTTCTTCTTCAACTTTTTCTTTTTCTTGCTTGTTTTGCCCTCTGTGGAAACTAGAGTGGAGACTGCCATCTGTTCAGGCTGTTCCGTTGTCTGTCTGGGATCTTCACTCACATATGATTCAGGGAGGAAAGCTTGGCTTTGGAAGGAGCTGCTACACTGTTCTGAGGTGGCATTGTCTGCTGGGGCTTTGTTTTCTTCTGACTTCACCGACAAGAGCATTGGTGAACCATTAATGCAAGAATGTCCAGATAATCTGGTCTTCCCCTTATTTGGAAGAGACTTCTGAATATCTTGATCAGGTTCTTGGAACTCAATTAGCCCTGACAAGGACATGGCAGGAGTGGTAAATGGGTATAGTGAAGATTGTTGGTTTGTATTCCCTGAAGAAAGGAGATGAAATATATGTCAAAAAGAACAATTAGCAGTTGTGCAACCTACTTGTAGCCATACGTGACTTTCAGTCATAAGCTACAGAACTTCCCCAATTAAATATGAAACATTGAGACAGTGACCTCAATTTGTGCTATCTACATCTTGATATCCACTGTAGTCTAGCGTCGAAAGTTGGACTATGATCCGTAAGTAGTTTGGTTCTTCTTTCTACAAGAACCTGATAAATCATTTTCTCTTTATCTCATTTCTCGTCTACACCAAGGAGATCATGATGAACTAACTACTCATCTCAGGTAGGGAGCCCCTCTCCCTGCAAAGACACCTAATCCCCAAGCTCAATTTGATGATAATTTTTGCAGAAGATGCAGACTTTGCAATTCCTCGTAAGGCTGCCTCTGTCATTTTCATCCTCCTTTGTTTCTCTTCTAACACAGCAGTATTTGGGAAAGCATCTTGCCCACCCCCTGGGCCACTTCTTGCTCAACTACAAATTAGAAACAGAACATGAATAATGGTGCTGAATTTGTCTTAGAAATCTAAAAACTGCACATGTATCCATGCACATAGACAGACCAAATTAATGCTTTCTAGTGTGAAATAAACCAACATACCACCCGGAAACAGAAGTTCTGCTTGTGGAGAGCTCTCTTCAGGAATAGTCATGCTCTCTTCCCCATGTTTGGGAGAGGCAGGTTCCTGCTTGATTTGAATAAACGAATCAGGGACTGAGATGGCTCCAAGGCTTGGAGGGCTTTGGAATGTAGGTGGACTTTTTACTTGGAGGCTGGCCGCCAAAGGAACAGGGGGTATCTGGGCAGCAAGAGGTGAAGCAGTTTCCAAAAGAGGAACAAGAAGACCTGGATTAGCAATCAGATTATGGGCAGGCTGAAGCTTGCTAATTCTTTTTTCACTTGAGTCACTGGCATGGAGTTGATGCAGTTGCTCAGAAGGGTCATAGCTTTCTATGGAGACAGAATAAATGGAAAACAGTCTTACATAAGCAAAACTGAGTTGCAAGGTACAAACCCTGCTCTGACTTCCGCCCCACAAGGCCAACTGTTGTGCAGCACTCAATGGTCTTACATGAGCCCAAGTGTGACATAAGCATTCTGTAATTCTCCTTTTCCTTTGTTTCAGTTAAATTACCATTTTGTGAAACTCATTGCGGAAGAGTTTTAGGTCTGACTCCAACTAGTAGTCCAACCAGAGGAGACCCACTGAATTGATGGTATTTATACAAACACTTACTCACTATTCAGCGAAAGAATCAACAGGCATGCACTATCTACAAGCAGGAGTAGGATTTAGATCTTGACTCCAAAAGGAGCTACCCACAAAAAGAAAAAGTCTGAACATTTTTTAAAAATGCTATTGACCTGATGAGTACAAAAAATGGAACTTTTTCCATGGCGGCTCTATCATTCTCTTTCCAGGAAAACATATACAGTGGTGCCTCGCACAGCGAGGTTAATCCATTCCGGATTAACCCTTGCTGTGTGAAAGCATAGTTGAACGGGGCAGGAAAAGCCATTGGTTTAATGCGTTCCAATTGGGCCGAATACTCACCGTTCAGCGATGCTTCCCTATGGCCGGCAGCCATTTACGCGCCCTCCCCTCGCTTAACGAGGGCGCGAAAACGCTGCGCGTGGCCATTTTGGGGCTTCCGGCGGCCATTTTGTAGCCGCCGAACAGCTGATCGGCAGGTCGCAAAGCGAAGGTTGGTAAGCGAACCGCTTACCGACCTTCGCTCTGCGATTTTCGCCCTATGCGGGCACCGTTTTGCGATCGCATTTGCAATCGCAAAAACGGCCTCGTAGAGCGAATTCATCGCTCTACGAGGCGCCCGTTGTCCAAGGCACCACTGTATACAGTAGCTCCCTCAATACTGCTTTTTAGGAGAAGCCTGAGGACTTTTAATTTATTTTGAATAGCTTTTGGATCATTCAAGGTTTATTTTAAAACACTTTAAAACACTTTTATCAGTTAGAGCTACTTTGCAGAGCTGCATATTATATATTTGATTGTTCTGGTGTTTTTAATATTTATCATTAAGTCACCTTGTAAAGGAAGATACCATATACCAATGGTACTTGACCTCCAGCCTTTCCAGATTTGTTTTACTTTAGTTCCAAGGAGCCCTAAACAAATATGTCAAATTCTGGAGTTTAAAGGTTGCTGTGGGTTTTTCAGGCTCTTTGGCCGTGTTCTGAAGGTTGTTCTTCCTAATGTTTCGCCAGTCTCTGTGGCCGGTATCTTCAGAGGACAGCACTCTGTGCTTTGGAGTTTAAAGTACAACAAATCTGTAGAACCAAAGGTTAAGCGCCATTGATGTTTAGAGGACTGTAAAGTAAACGACAACTTCTTAGGCTTCTTCGGTTTTGACTGCTGGTCTGGTACCGAAGGATACATCGGTACCGGTGTCAACTTAAGGGTCGAGCCACCCGCCCTAGGTTTGGAAGGCAGTTTCGCTTTAGATTTAGACTTAACTGAGGAGGCCACTGAAGCATCTGGAGATGGTAGTTGAGCTGGAGGCGGCTGAGCGGGCTCCATAGCCGAAGTAAGGCAAAGAGATCTTTCCCACAAATAAGATCGTAGACGCTGCTGTCTCAATTTAAGAGCTTGTTTAGTAAATTTCTTGCAAATGGAGCAAGAGGCTGGCTGATGGAATTCACCAAGGAAAAAGACAAGCATCATGGCCATCCGTAAAGGGGATTTTACTAGGGCACAAAATGCACCATTTAAACAGTGCAGAGGAGGCCATAAACCAGCAAAAAACTAGAAAAAGGATAAAGGGGGAGACTAGGGATGGGGGTGGCGGCAAGGGAGGTAGAACAGGAAAAATCTCACAGAAGTCCCTATTGAACCCGCTAGTGAATGGAGCTCGTCGGAGAGAAGAAACCTCAGCGGTGGCAAAAAGAATTAAGAGACTTGCCAGGATGGGCGGACCACGTGTATTGTGGGGTCAGTCCTAGCGAACAATGTTTAAGCTCTAGAAGACTCCAGAAACCTCTGTGCAAGCGCAGACTAAACCCATTAGTGTGCATTCACAGAGACCACGAAGTATGTTAGTTGTAGTGAACACAGGATTCTGATTTTTCCCCCAGAAATCTATAAAGGTCTATTGGAATCTTAGGAAAGGTATTCAAGAAGCAGGCTTTCCAACCTGACAGTGTTCACTGTTGTTTTGCTAGTGTTTCATTCTCTTCTTCTTTATTTTTCAACAGATTTGTTTTGATTCTATAATTTAATTTCTTGCATTTTAGTTACAAGCTGTTGTTAGCATTTTCTTAGTGTTTTCCCTAGTTTAAACACCCTGCAGAGAATTATTGCATGTGGAATAGCTTATAAATAAATAAATAAATGTATTTGTGAATATAGAGGTATGGATTCTGATACCTTGCAAACCCTGCAGAATCTGAATTCTCTGGCTTCTCAGAGTCCCCATTTCCACTGATATCTGAAAAACAAGAGATGGAATCATGCATAAAACAATCCAAAACAATCTTCCGGGCTGTCAAGAGATACAGCTGATGGACTCTGAAATGTGAACATACTTGCTCTTTCAGTACAAGCAGTCGCTGTACTTCCATATAAGCTGCTTGGAGAGCAGCCCGAGCCTGCATGAGGCATCCATCCACACATTGCAAGGATTTGCTCAGTTCTTCTTCTTTCAAGGAAATAGACAACAACTGGTCTACCTGAGAACGCTCTGCAAAAGAAAGTTATATGATATGGCAGAGTCTCAAAATAAAGAGAAAATCATTGCATCTGACATATGTCTGCTTCCTAGGGTCCAACCCATTTGTTTAACTTTCCACACATTGCTTAATGCAAGTAGCCTGGTAGAAAGGATATATGAAACTATTCCCAGTGTGATCAGCTTGGCATGAATCGTAAGTAATTGTCGAACAGAACTGGCCCAAGGTATTTTGTTGACTTAGACAAAGGGTAAGATGAATCTCTCCCCTTTTCTTCATAAAGAAGTCAACTGGAGTGGGAGCTGATTCTGACTCCTACACTGGTGATGGGACAGTAACCTCAGTGACGCCAGAAGAGAACAGGGTAGGTGCTGAGGCTCAATATCGCACAGATAGGTCAAACCTGAGCATCTCACCGCTGCTCCTTATCATTCAGTATCTGCTGCCTGAAGTAGCTGCCTCATTTTGATAATGCCAGTGACGCCAGAAGAGAACAGGGTAGGTGATGACGTAGCTGCCTCATTTTGATAATGGCATGGCTAAACCTGCAATCAACAGAATTGCAAACTGGAAACAACAGCACTATACTGACAAATTTTTCACATTTTTGCCTTCACTCACCTTTCTTCCCTTTAATCTTCCTTCGTTTATTCTTTCTTTCTAGACTTGGAATTTCAGGAGAGGATCCCTCCTAGAAATTGAAATGTAGCCATTTAAAAATCAATAAAGAACATTTCGTGTTAGCCACAGTTGTGTGCTCCATATTCTGCATGTCAGTTTGTTTGTTTGTTTGTTTGTTTGTTTGTTTGTTTATTCTACTTGTATGCTGCCCGCACTCTGTACTTCAGATGCATATGCTTGAACACAATGCAAGAAATGAAATATTATGAAAGCAATGGCTAATTAAGGTCTATGTATATGGAGATGCAGAGGCAAGGAGTATGATGAATCAGAAAGATTAGACAGAATGTGTGCAGGTACTGTGATATCTTGGAGCCACTTTTCAGATACTGTCACACCAATCAAATGGCTATAACAGGAAGGTATTTTCTTATCAACAGTAGGGGAACTTACTCCAGTTGCTCTTCTCTTTTTTCCTGTACCCTGGCTGTCATTCTGCTCGTTGCCTGATGTGTAGCTGCTGTCTGTAGCTGCATCTAGATTGCTGAATGTTGCAAGGGCTGAAGCCACCGAGTATCTCTGTCCTGGACTCTCCAGCATGTCATGGCTTTCAAGCAACTGAGTGCTATATTCACGGTTTCTCTGGGCTTCTTCTGTACCAAATGCTGTAGTTCTGTTAACATTTGGGGGAGTCTGTAGGCTGAGTCTTATTCCTGAATCAGTCCTGTCAGACATGAATGGTGAGGAAGGAAGAGAAGCAGATTCTTGCTTCACATGAACCATGGCATCTGCAGGTATTGGGGATCTAGACACTGCATCCTCAGTGGTGGCAATGGGACTGACTTTCTTTTGCTCATTTTCTTTGCTCATGCTTTGGTTGCTGAAAAAGCTGTAAGCAGAGGCCATCTTATCTACAGCCACACTGCTTTCGGAGAGGCTGCGTTTCCTCACAGTTCCAGGGGAGCCTATGGATATCCCTTCCCAATGGAATCCTTCAAGACTGGTCAAGTCAGCATCCTCATCCACCTCAAGACCTTCCTGTTCATTCTGGATGAGGGGAACCATCTCTATGCCAAACCTTAAAACACAGATGGGAAACACTTAATAGTGAAAATACTATCAAATTTAACATTCATGTTTTAGCAATCCAGCTATAAATATAATTACGTATGTTTCATCAGTGGGTAGCTGGATATAATCTATGTGTATCAAATCAAGTGTGAACTCTCCCTTGAAAAGAAAAAGAATAACAGAGGCTGCTGTACTTTGGTTGTATCATGAGAAGACAAGACTGACTGGCAAAGACAATAATGGTGGGAAAAGAGGAATACCAAACATTAGAGATGAGATGTTCTGATTTATTGGAAGTAAGGTAAAGGTAACGTCTCCCCTTGACATGTAGTCCAGTCATGTCCGACTCTAGGGCGCGGTGCTCATCCCCATCTCCAAGCCGTAGAGCCAGCGTTTGTCCGTAGACAGTTTCTGTGGTCACGTGGCCAGTGCGACTAGACGCGGAACGCGGTTACCTTCCCACCGCGGTGGTACCTATTTATCTACTCACATTTACATGCTTTCGAACTGCTAAGTTGGCAGGAGCTGGGACAAGTGACGAGAGCTCACTCCGTCACGTGGATTCAATCTTACAACTGCTTGGCCTTCTGACCTTGCAGCACAGAGGCTTCTGCGGTTTAACCTGCAGTGCCACCGTGTCCCACTTTATTGGAAGTACAAATCCCATAATTCTCCATTCTAGGAGTTCTACCTGAATTATGCCTACTTTAGAGACACCTAAATATGGCTCACCTGGGAGAAAAGGTCTAAATTGGAAGGCTCTGAGGATTAGCAAAGCTTAGCTCTGCCCACCTTCCTATTCAATAAGAAAACTGCCAGCTAGCACTGGTGGAGAAGGGAAACCTAGTGGAGCCAGGCCTAGCTAAGCCTCAAAGCCTTCTGGTTTAGGCCTTTTCTTCCAGGTGAGCTACACTTAGGTTCTGTAAGGGGTGTGTACAAGTCAGGTAGAACTCTCAGAACGGGGAATTAAGGGATCCGTAACTGACTGGCTGGGTAGTTTAGTGAGTTAGGTATCTGGCTGCAGAACGAGAGGTTGGCAGTTTGATTTGCTGCTGTGCTTCTCAGAAGAGCCAGTCTGTGTGGCCTTGAGCCAGCTGCACCCCAGAAGAAGGGAAAGGTAAACCACCTCTGAGTACTCTCTACCTAGAAAACCCTGAAAAGGGTCTCCATGAATTTACTTGATGGCACACACAATGTTACAATGTTCATCCAAGAATTCCAAAGATCCTATCCCTATCAAACATGGAATAAAGGAAGTGATAGCCTTTAGTTCACCTGACATGACCAAAGCTGATAATAATAGGATCTTCTGAACACCCTTGATTCTGTATCATCACCATAACTGTAAGTGACTTAATGGCACATAACAAGACAGGTAGCTTAGCTATGTTGCTGCTTATTGCTTTGAAATCCAGAGCTGCCCTACCTTTTAGACACAATGTTTCAGAAGACCCAACTAGATTTCTTCATCACTAAATCAGAATTTGCAAAGAACACTTTTATATGAATGAGTGTAAATGTGGTATGACACTAGATACAAATTGAGAGGCTATTAATTATTTTTGCACATAGGAGTAATCTAGTGGGTTATCTTTGGTGGAGATACAAAGGAGGGCAGACAAGAGAAATGTTATGGAGTCTGTCATCTGTAATTAATTTGAGGATATTTCTTACTCTTAAATTCCTTATCTTCCCCAGATAAAACTATCTTTCGGGCAAGTATCTAAATCCCTTATACAGCTTCCCCCCAAAAGGAGCACAACATTGAATTGTTGGCTGCCTCATGATTTTGCATTAGATTACTATAAATCTATTAACTATATGAATGAATGCTTAATATATATATCAAGAACTGTGTTTTAAAGTTAAGAGACTACAAACCTTGGTAAACCTTTGCCAAGTTCTTGCTTCTTCTTTGTCACTTGCTGAATGACTTGCTCCCAGTTTACATTTCGACGAGATACACTAATAATCTGCCGCAAAGTTGGCTTGAGCCCTGATTCCTTCTCGGTTTCACTCTTCCGGTGGCCGCTAACATTTCGAATGCGCCTTGCGCTGTTGAGGTTGGGTTCTGGTAGATGTGAGCCAGTTTTGCTCTTCAAACTGGTACGCCATGTTAAGTCTCTCTGGAGAGAAGCCGGAAAGCCAAGCTTACTCAGTTCAGGAAGAAGAGGGCCTGAGGGCTGCCCTGTTGAATCTCTCTGCAGCTCTTGATTTGAATGATCTCCATAACTTTCTTCTTCAACAGCATCATTTGATTTTCTGGTATTTTCATCCCCACCCTCTTCCAAAGATGCTTTCAATTCAATAGCTCCATTTTGTCGATCACTAGATTGGGATTCCAAAGAGTCCATTTGGAATTCAGCACCATTTTTCACAGTATCTCCTGATTCTCCTACACAGTTACCTTTTCTTCCTGTAGCATGTTCTGCTTCATCCAGATCACAAGATGAACATAATTTTGACAGAGTGGTCTTGCTTCCTGTTATATCTCTGGGGCTCTCATTTTCCAATTTTGCTATTTGGGACTCACATGTTTTATCTGTAGGGACCTCAATATTCAAATCTTTATTTCCATCAGTTTGAGTACTCCTGCAAGGGCTTGAGTAAGAGTTTTTGAGAGAACCATTATACTGGATTTCTTCTTTGGTCTTTTGTAACACTTCATTTAAGCCTTTTTTATTGCCAAGCATATGTTTAATGCCTTTTGAATTGTTAGAGTTACTATACTCATTGCTCGCCTTGGATCCATTTAAGGAGGAATTGTTATTTTCTAAATTTAATGTGTTCAGTTGATTCTGACCTTCCCCCGACGATGAAGATAGAAGAAGTTGGACCTGTTTCAAAAGACTCTTTGGGCCTCTTTTTTGTGAAGGCTTTATATCTGGAATAGCCAGAAGTGGGGACTTCAGAGTTGGCATCCGGCTTCCTTTACCTTCAGCATAGTCTGGTTTTGTCTCACTGCTGTATTCTCTTGGTCCTTTACATGGTGCAGATTTGTTGGGTGTCATTTTGGAATTTGTAGCTACTGAATAATTTTCTTCTGATTTCCTCATTTTGGATTTGTTAGTTTTAGGATCTGCCCATTTTGAAGAGAGATGAGACGATGACAAATGTGCAGAATCTGCTTTCTCTGAAGATTTAGCTACACTCTCAACAGATGCTGGCTGCTGTTCTACTATTTTTGGAGAGGGATATGGAGCCCACCGATTTGTCTTTTCTCGGGAAGGGTTGTTGCACTTTCCATTGACCTTGGAGGCCTTGCTCTCTGGCTGTTCAGAAACAACGAAGTTTAATAATTGATCTGAAGGTAGCTGATCACTTGTGAAATCCAATAAACAGTTAAAATCGTTTTCTTTAGCTAGGCCTGTATAGGATGCAACAGAACCACTCTCCTGCCATTGCCATGAATATCTTTCTATGATGTAATTTTCTTGTATACTCTTGCTTTTTGACCACGGAGCAACCATGTTGTCAACTTGGGTACTGTAGTTTGCAGCTCTGTTTCTTCCTAAATTCCAGTCATTTGTGTTTTGTTGGCCAGGCTTCCTGTTTGCTCCTGAATTTTTGGACTGCCAATTAGAAAAGCCATTATTTCCCCCAGAATTCCAGTTAGAACTTCTTCCTCTACCACCATGATGCCATCCTGATGTTCCTCCTCCAGGATTCTGATGCCAAACAGCTCCGGCATTTCCATAGTTGTGATACCAATTCGGAGGTGCTCCAGAATTGTTTGGATGCCACCCAGACCATCCTCTTTGACTGGCAAGATGCTTTTTTGTATTATTTGGCTTTCTTGTAGAATGTGTGAATTTGCCTTGTCTGGGATTTAAGAAGCCTTCGTTTTCCCATTTCCAGTCCCTCTGTGATGGTCCACGATGATACCTTGACGATGAATCATATATGTCTCTGTCTTGATAAGAGGTTCTGTCATCTTGCTGTCTTTGCAGTCTCCTGTCATCACTTTCAGTTTCATGGTTTGCACGGCACATTTCACCTGCCCTGTAAAGAGACAAATATTTCATACGAGGACCAGAAAGCCAACTCCCACTCACCCCCAATAACAGTTCACTTTTAAAAATAGCTAGTAACTAAATTCTGTTTAAAATCTGCCTGAACAATGCAAACTTTTCTGCTCAGTAGCCCAAGCTGGTCCCTTCAGTTATACAACTGCAAAACAAACCACCATAATCAAAGGAAGAAGCTTCAGTAAAAAATCAGCCTCCACTAAAATTATTTTTCCCCACTGATCATGCAGACACTCACAGCATAATTATGTGACATAGAGCTGTTAAGTGAAACCAAAATTAGTAACATGACAATGGCAGAGGCAGGCTCCACTGAGTCACTGAAAACCTCCCCTCAAAGCAATGGAGAGTCTTGGAAGACAAAATCTTTATGAAAAAAAAATCTTATTCTAGTGTTGCTAAAGAAGACTGAATTTTTTTTCCTCTTCCACCTTTTGGCATTATTCATCAAGGAGAAAACCCAGGAAAAGAGATTATCGCTGCTTCCCACCTACTGAATAATATATAACTACAAAAGATCTTGGGAAGTTATGACATTTTTAGAGAAATACATTCTTTTAAAAGACAGTTGAAAAAAGCAATTAGATGTCTTGAGGATACAATTTTAGCCTTCTAAGCAAGACTGGCTCTGTACAGAACACAGTTTTTTATGCCCCGCTTCCAGCAAAAACAGGTTCAGTTTGCATGTGTGACATGCATAGCAGAACACTTTCTAAGACTATGCATCTGGAGTCTTGTAATCTGGCAATCTGCCAGCAAGTTTCCCACAAAGCAAAATTAAGATTTTGTCAGAAAAAGGAAGCACAGTAGGTTTTGCATCCCAAAGAGTAATGCTGCTTTTTAAATATGCAATGCAAGTAAGTTAGTTGAATACAAGAACTATTTTCTTTTCTGCTTGTAGGCAACTGGAGACATAAGGGTAGGAAAATTTCACACTATGGCATCCATCTTCACAACCCCTGACCATGAGTATGCTTAAGGTTTCAAATTCCATATCCCCTTTTAACTCTGACAAGACTCAAACCCTGTAGTGGTTCCATAAATGGGCTTCAATGATTACTGAATTAGTGGATGATAGCAACTTCGAAGGAGAAAAGAAAGTCATGGAGACTGATATATGTCTTCACACCATCAACCAAACTAGATTAGAAGATGGACAAAATGTCAGTAACATCACACTTTGTCAACACGTCTCTCATCAGCCAAGTCTGATGATACCAACAGATTTTAAACACATCCATGACAATCTGGACACTAGAATAGAGAAAACTAATTTCTTTTAGTTAAGTTCATTATGGTGAAAACCAAAAGAGCAACATCAATCTGGACGGCCCATTTACATCTTAAAACCTGACTGCCAAGATCCAGAGAACCAACTGTATGAATGGAAGACATGTCTGCTGAAGCACCTTCTGCTCACACAGTATAGAATAACCTTCAGATCCAACCCCTAGAAGGCTATGCATTTGCAACAAACCAAAACAGATTCTTGCTCTTGAAACTTCACACAAGCAAACAGAAAACCCTAAGACACAGAAAGCTATACAGAAAGTGGATAAAGAATTCCGTTCAAGATGCAAACACATTTATAGATAATCATGAATTTAGAAGTGGGAAAATAGTCCAGATTCAGTTAACAGAACTGTAAGGAACACAACTGAAAAAGCATCCTAGTGTCCTTTACAGGCCAAAAAAGTTTTTTTTTTAAATGGGGGGGATACGAGGGGTCCCGGAAATGTTGAGAATATCTCAAAACATTGCAATATAACCTCTTTGCCTCTTACAGGGCACAAAGGGACTTGCTGAGCCAAACAATTTCTTCAAAAGCACATTTTATAGACATTTGGGAGATGGGGACGGGAGGATTGCCAAACAGACTCCAAAGACCACATGCAGGTCAGGGTCACAAACAGCTCCCATCTGTGTTACTGGTTCACACATGAAGGGTTATCCACTTTTCCCATGAAAACTAGGCATGCACAACCTGAATGAAGATCAAATTTATTTCAAAAATTGTCCTTAATGCACTTATAAAAAACATGTATTCAAGAAAACAATATATTGTGTATTTTTGAATATAATGATTATGCAGACCATCAATATTCATTGTTGAATACACTAGACAATATTATCTTGTGCCCCCCTCTCTTTTTTTTAATTAAGCATCTACAAGTGCACTAACGTCACCATTGCCTAATATAGTTTGCTATCACTGCAAGTCAACGGTAAACTGCAATTATCTGTCCTGGAAACATTACTTCAAAACTACATGCAAACAATTAACATTCTGTATGAAAAACAGTTGCTTTTACAATTCTCAGGGCTCTTCCAGCTGCATGCAGCTGTAGGACCAGACAGAGGCTACTGTGTACAGACCACTCTTGGCAGCATTTCTCTGTGTTCAAAGATCACTTAAGTATTCTGTGTTGTAAGAGATTAAAGAAACATGGAAACACTCACCGGTTCTGCTCATTTCTTTGTTTGATTAACTGGATCAATTCCTTGTCAAAGTATTCTTCCTTTTCCTCCTCCTGTCCTTCCTCTGCATCGTGGGCTTCAATGTTGTCTTTGTGCAGCTGGCTTGAGATGTGCTTTGCATATGCTGACAGGCCTACTACTGTCACCTTACACACCTGGCACTCATGATTGCTGTCCCTGGGACAAGATGGAGAAGAGGGACATTCAATTCTTCCCACAGGCATGGTAAACAAGGCTGATCGTAAGTCACGTTTCCTCTGAAGGTGCAAGTATCACGTCAATTGTACCTTAGGTCTATGAATCTGTGCTGTACTTCTGCGTTATTAAACTTGCAGACTTATATAAACTTTCTTTTTTGCAATTGCGGTTGATTTTGATGAATTTTTGGTGGATTTCAGATTTCTTTCCAACAATCAAGAGGTAAATGTCTTGAGAATAAAAACTATCAGCTGGGATTCTTCTTGGATTGTTGTACTCAAAACCTTATCATCAGAGGAAACATAGTAGAGGAGGTGGTGGCAGAATGGAGGGCTTGCAGAGCTAGCAGAAGCTCTGAAGCACCTCCATGGTGCCAGCTGCACTGGGAAAACCCAGTGATAAGATTCGCGTTATAAGCTGAGTCTCAGCTTTCTTCCAATGGATGTCAGCGGAGAGGAGGGGAGAACTTTCCACCAGCCAATCCCAACACAGTGAAACCTAAACTGGGACAGCTGGCACACTGGCCTGGAATTCAAAGACTCCACAGCCCAGCAAATGAACAGAGGGAGTATCCAGAGCCCAACGCTTTGGTTTAGAAGGTACAAGTTAAGTCCACTTTCTGCTTTGCAAGGATTATCCAAAATACACACAATTATTTCAGTTGGAGGAAGCTGACAACTGTGTCAGACAAGTGGCCTTACTCCAATTTCAAAAAAGGCTGCCAAGAAGAATAAAAGCATTTTGTTCCCAGAATTGCAAATTTAGGAGTGGCATAGGATAGAGCAGAGAAACTGTAAATCTTGCAGGGCTTATACCCAGCCCCTACAAAAAAAAGTAAAAACCAGTTTATTTGCAAGACAAATGAAGAAAAGGAACAAAATTAATGTATTTTGCAGTTACATTCTACAGTATTTTGTTATTTTAAAGAAATGCAGATTTCACTAAATATTTTGGACTATAAAACCATCCATCGACATAGATATAAGTAGAAAGAAGACTGAGACAGTTCTTCACAGAGAGACTGATGATTTCTGCATACAGTACTGAGACTCAAATATTTGCTCTTCTCAGTTCCACACAGGAAGATGTGAAAAATCTACACATTTAGCACTCCTGATTCTGAATATACAGAAATAATTTCTGAAAACTCTGTTCAAGACTCATGTGTGCTTGGCCAGAAATAACTACTTCACCCACACTGCCCCACATACAGATAACACAATCACATTTTCTGCAACTTGCTATTTTGGAATCATTACCAAGACATTTTTTAAACCTTTTATCTATTAAAAGAAAAACAAACAGGCTGAAGGGATCTGTGTTACTTTAGAGTTTCATGTCATTGCATGTTTGTTATGTGGGTTTCAGCACAGCTGACAAGCCACTTGGCTAAAATATTCTTTAATGAAGTGACAGAAACCCCCATCTCTTGGGTCACAACCATCTTTAGCATTCTGTAAAGAATTTCCTTCAAAGGAAACGGAGGCTTAGGAATCTTCTTCCACCTCTGCAATTTTTAAAAATATGAAAGATAAGACCAAGACAAAAAAAATCTTCACCCACTCATAAGACATTACACTGACACTATTGTACATACTTCAGTAAGGGAGGCCAGCTGATTCTTAAAGAAAGCATCAGAACTCTTTTAAATGCTTTCAAGTGAAGAAACTATGTACTTACGGCTAACTCCCTTACAAATACAAAGACTGGGATCTAAAGAATAGTACAACTAGTTTTATGGGTCCAAAGGATATTTGGGCATGTGCTTGACAGCTGGTTGCTGCAAGCAGCAAACTAGTGTTGAAACTGAAGGGATACTAATAATGAACTGTAGAGCTGGAAAGGGGCCTGATGGATCATCAAGTCCAGCCCTTGCCCAGGAGGCACAGTGGAGAATCCAACTCCCAACCTAAAGCACTGAGCTATCCAACAGTTCTTCAAAAGCAGTTTGTCATATGTTATGGAGATCTTATATTCAAAGTTAAATGTGATGCCAGAGCTATTAAGCATAACTATTCTTTGGATGCACTGACAGTAACACTTTGGATCTTAGTCAAAAATGCTAAATATGTTAGTGTATCAAAGACCTGCATTTTTCAAATGTGTGCTTTGGAAGTGTGTAAATTTATTAACCTTCTACAGCAAAAGAGAAAGAGTAAAGACAGTTTATTTACAGGCGTACCTCAGTTTACGAATATAATGCGTTTGACGGGATGTTATGTAATGCAAAAAAATTGTAAACAGAAATGCAGATTGCCATACGAACGGGGGCACTGCTATAAACCTGCAGGCCAGTGGTCTGGGAACAGGGGTAAATTGCCCCAAATGGTGAAAATTCTGGGGGTAATGAGCAGAGCGCTACCCCCTCCCTCCCACCCCC